ACGGCAGGACCTGGTCAATGACCTGAAGAGAGATGGGACCACAGTCTCAAAGAAAACCATTAGTAACACACTACGCCGTCATGGATTAAAATCCTGCAGCGCACGCAAGGTCCCCCAGCTCAAGCCAGCGCATGCCCAGGCCCGTCTGAAGTTTGCCAATGACCATCTGGATGATCCAGAGGAGGAATGGGAGAAGGTCATGTGGTCTGATGAGACAAAAATAGAGCTTTTTGGTCTAAACTCCACTCGCCGTGTTTGGAGGAAGAAGAAGGATGAGTACAACCCCAAGAACATCATCCCAACCGTGAAACATGGAGGTGGAAACATCATTCTTTGGGGATGCTTTTCTGCAAAGGGGACAGGACCACTGCACCGCATTGAGGGGAGGATGGATGGGGCCATGTATCGCGAGATCTTGGCCAACAACCTCCTTCCCTCAGTAAGAACATTGAAGATGGGTCGTGGTTGGGCCTTCCAGCATGACAACGACCCGAAACACACAGCCAGGGCAACTAAGGAGTGGCTCCGTAAGAAGCATCTCAAGGTCCTGGAGTGGCCTAGCCAGTCTCCAGACCTGAACCCAATAGAAAATCTTTGGAGGGAAGTCCATATTGCCCAGCGACAGCCCCGAAACCTGAAGGATCTGGAGAAGTATGGAGGAGTGGGCCAAAATCCCTGCTGCAGTGTGTGCAAACCTGGTAAAGACCTACAGGAAACGTATTATCTCTGTAATTGCAAACAAAGGTTTCTGTACCAAATATTAAGTTCTGCTTTTCTGATGTATCAAATACTTATGTCATGCCATAAAATGCAAATTAATTACTTAAAAATCATACAATGTGATTTTCTGGATTTTTGTTTTAGATTCCGTCTCTCACAGTTGAAGTGTACCTATGATAAAAATTACAGACCTCTGCATGCTTTGTAAGTAGGAAAACCTGCAAAATCGGCAGTGTATCAAATACTTGTTCTCCCCACTGTATATCCATCCTGCCCTGCCTTTCGAAAGTATTTGAAAGCCAAGTTAACAAACAGATCACCGACCATTTCGAATCCCACCGTACCTTCTCCGCTATGCAATCCGGTTTCCGAGCTGGTCATGGGTGCACCTCAGCCACGCTCAAGGTCCTAAACGATATTATAAACGCGATCGATAAAAGACAGTACTGCGCAGCCGTCTTCATCGACCTGGCCAAGGCTTTCGACTCTGTCAACCACCACATTCTTATTGGCAGACTAAATAGCCTTGGTTTCTCTAATGACTGCCTCGCCTGGTTCACCAACTACTTCTCAGATAGAGTTCAACGTGTCAAATCGGAGGGCCTGTTGTCTGGACCTCTGGCCGTCTCTATGGGGGTGCCACAGGGTTCAATTCTCGGGCCGACTCTATTGTCTGTGTATATCAATGATGTCGCTCTTGCTGCTGGTGACGCTGGGATCCACCTCTATGCGGACGACACCATTTTGTATACATCTGGCCCTTCATTGGACACTGTGTTAACAAACCTCCAAACGAGCTTCAACGCCACACAACACTCCTACCGTAACCTCCAACTGCTCTTAAACACTAGTAAAACTAAATGCATGCTCTTCAACCGAACGCTGCTTGCACCCGCCCACCCGACTAGAATCACTACTCTCGGCGGGTCTGACCTAGAGTATGTGGATAACTACAAATACCTAGGTGTCTGGTTAGACTGTAAACTCTCCTTCCAGACTCACATTAAGCATCTCCAATCAAAAGTTAGATCTAGAATCGGCTTCCTATTTCGCAACAAAGCCTCCTTCACTCATGCTGCCAAATATGCCCTCGTAAAACTGACTATCCTACCGATCCTTGACATCGGCGATGTCATTTACAAAATAGCCTCCAACACTCTACTCAGCAAATTGGATGTAGTCTATCACAGTGTCATCCGTTTTGTCACCAAAGCCCCATATACTACCCACCATTGTGACCTGTACGCTCTTGTTGGCTGGCCCTCACTACATATTCGTCGCCAAACCCACTGGCTCCAGGTCATCTATAAATCACTGCTAGGCAAATCCCCGTCTTACCTTAGCTCACTGGTCACCATAGCAACACCCACCCGTAGTCTGCGCTCCAGCAGGTATATCTCACTGGTCATCCCCAAAGCCAACACCTCCTTTGGCCGCCATTCCTTCCAGTTCTCTGCTGCCAATGACTGGAACGAACTGCAAAAATCTCTGAAGCTGGAGACTCTTATCTCCCTCACTAACTTTAAGCGTCAGTTGTCAGAGCAGCTTACCGATCACTGCACCTGTACACAGCCTTTCTGAAATTAGCCCACCCAACTACCTCATCCCCATATTGTTATTTATTTTGCTAATTTGCACCCCAGTATCCCTATTTGCACAACATCTTTTGCACATCTATCATTCCAGTGTTAATACGAAATTGTAACTATTTTGCACTATGGCCTATTTATTGCCTTACGTCCATAACTTACTACATTCGCACACACTGTATATATATTTTCTGTTGTATTTTTGACTTTATGTTTTGTTTACCCCATATGTAACTCTGTGTTGTTGTTGTTTTTATCGCACTGCTTTGCTCTATCTTGGCCAGGTCGCAGTTGTAAATGAGAACTTGTTCTCAACTGGCTTACCTGCTTAAATGAAGGTGAAATAAAAACAATTTAAAAATAAATGGCAGTGGTGGTTGATGTCCTTGATGATCTTTTTGGCCTTCCTATGGTGTGTTTCCGTGAAACAAAGTATGTTACTGGCCCTAATGTCTCTCTGGAAAGAAATCCTTGCCCACTTTCTTATCCTAAGACTGAACATTAGCGAGTAATATACTTGGAAGCGGTGGGTGGTGTGCGCGCCTCCTAAGTCGAACCAGCAGGCCGCCTCGAGTGCCTCTCCTCAGCCGGCGACGTTTTGGGTCGCCCTCTAGAATCAGTTGAATTACTCTGGGGAGAGCGAACAAAGGATCTGCTTAGGGGAAGTCGTATTCCTGGTCGTAATGCTGGTAGTTCTGGTGAGTTACCGCCGCTCTGATATCCAATAGTTCTTCCTGGCTGTATGTAATGACACAAAACATTTCTTGAGCTAATAATGTCAAAAATAATACATAAAAAAACAAAATACCACAAAGTTTCCTAAGAGCTAGTCGCGAGGCCACCATCTCTGTCAGCGCCATCTTCATCTTAGTAAATAAGGATATCCACAATAACTCTATCCCTATCTCCAGGCTTTATCTAAATATTCCACAAATGGAAATACACAATGGACAAAAAAACATTTCAGTCTCTCCTCATCGCTAGTAGTTCTTACATAAGAAAATGTTCTGTGGGGTGTTTAATCCAATAAAAGTACTTTCTGTATTCTCCTATTCTAAGTCTCAACAGTAAATTGAGACCCTGACTGAGTTCCTAAAAACTGGGGGCCCTCTAGCAGCCAGGGGCCCTAAGCTACTGATTTTGTCGCTTATGCCTGGAGCCGGTTTTATGGGAAAGCCTTTAGAAATGACTGTTTCACATCGCTAACTGGCTACACAAAGTGGTAGACTAAGGCATTACCATGCAGTTTATTCTTCAGAAAGTTGAAAGAAATGCAAATCGCTGATGCATTCTCTAATATTCTTTACATGTAGGCTTTGGATTGAACGAATCTTGGCTCACTTTTTTCTCTAGGGCATTCGGAAACAACTGCATAGTGAAGCCTATCATTACAACAATTATTATCTGGGTGATGTTTTTCCTGCTCGCACTGGTGCTCCCAAAATAAAATATCAGGTCGCACAGCAAAATATCTAGGAGCGTATGTGACCAAAATTGTCGCACTTTAGAGCCTTGGTCAGACTGCCCTGCCTGGACCTCCGATTCTGTGGTCTGTCTTTAGGGGAGGAGTGCAGTTGAGAGGCTCTCCCACTGAGAAGCAGAGTCCACCAGGTCTGGTCCTCCAGCCCCCAGCCTGCAGGCTTAACACGAAGCAGATGGTGAGGGGAGATCCCCAGCAGTAAAGGACGGGCTGAGGCCTCTGCTGGAGGTACAACATGAACTAGAACCTCATTTGGAAGTGGAATCATAACATAGGCACAATGGACCTGGAGCTATTGAAGTGTAGAGCTGTAGAAGTGGAGTTATGACAGGTCACTATCTATGGGACCTATGAGATAAGAGAGAGAGAGTAAGAAGAGGATGAGAGGAAAATATAGATGGAAGAGTGAGGAACAAATTATGGTCAGAAAGACAAACTTACTTTGTTGAGGCGAGTTGAGTTTTGATAACTGATAATCTCACCCTGATTAATAATTTGTTAATCCCTATTTACAATGTTTACATAGAGTTATCAATGTTTGAGGAACTATTAAATAGGTTCAGAGTTCAAGGTAATGCCTCATCCATACACACACAAATAAACACACAGACACACACCATCCCTAATATGTAAGCCAAGTATGTTCTCGACAAAAGGCTTAAAAATTAAGATAAAGCTGAATGTTTAAGCGAACCATCCCTGTCTCATTGATATGGGTGAGTGCTGAACGGACACCCATCATTTCATATCACCATAGCGATTAGGGAACCTTTGATATTTGGGATGGATGTGATAGGATGATGAGGCAACAAGCTCTCACAGTCTCACTGCAGAATTAGACATTCATCCACATTCTCCAAACGTAACATTTCGAAGTTGCTCCAAACGCCAAATTTCAAAGTGTTTTTGTTGCTCCTGCTGCTTTGAATCATTCCATTTCTCCAAACGTCAAATTTTGAAGTTAAGGGTTAAGTTTATGCACTCATTCCGAATAGATAAGGTAAGGGTTAAGGTTTGGGATAGGGTTAAAACATTACGTTTAGGCACTCATTCCAAGTGGTTAAGGTTTGGGATAGTGTTAAAACCAAAAATAAAAACCAGTGTCCACGAATGGAATTGAACAAACACAACCTCCAGAGTCATATGATTACTTTAGAGCCCTGGTCAGACTTCCCTGCCATGGACCTCTGATTCTGTCGTCTGTCTTTAGAGGAGGGTTGCAGTTCAAAGGCTCTCCCACTGAGAAGCAGAGTCCACCAGGACTGGTCCTCCAGCCCCCAGCCTCCAGGCCTAACACGAAGCAGATGGTGAGGAGAGATCCCCAGCATTAAAGGACGGGCTGAGGCCTCTGCTGGAGGTCCAACAAGAACTAGAACCTCATTTGGAAGTGGAATCATAACATAGGAACAATGGACCTGCACATTGATATGTTTGTGTGAATTTCCCGCAGACTAGACACTGTGCTGCGTATTGCTGCCTTTCGCAGGTCGATTGCAAATTTGTCACAAAAAAGTGAAAAGGGGAAGGACATTTTTTAGATTGCACCACCATCTAACCCTGCACCTTATACACTATCCCCAAAACCCACCTACCCATCCTACAACTTTGGCCCTAAACGATCCTACTCCAGGCCGTCTGCCAACTTGCGTCTTCATCTGCCGACAACGATAACCCCTCTAAACTGAAGTGGGAGGGACCAGAGTCCAAATGTCCATTCAGGCACACTTCCCAAGATAATTCTCTTCGGTTATAGTCACAGCCGTGTATACTCCCCCTCAAGCCGATACCACGACGGCCCTCAAAGAACTACACTGGACTTTATGCAAACTGGAAAACACATATCCTGAGGCCGCATTTATTGTAGCTGGGGATTTTAACAAAGCAAATTTGAGGAAAATGCTACCGAAGTTCTACCAACACATTGACTGTAGCACTCGCTCTGGGAAAACTTTGGACCACTGCTACTCAACTTTTCGAAATGCCTACAAGGCCCTCCCTCGCCCTCCCTTCAGCAAATCTGATCACGACTCCATTTTGCTCCTCCCTTCCTATAGGCAGAAACTCAAACAGGAAGTACCCGTGCTAAGGTCTATTCAACGCTGGTCTGACCAATTGGATTCCATGCTTCAAGATTGTTTTGATCACGCGGACTGAGATATGTTCCGGGTAGCCTCTGATAATAACATCGACGAATACACGGATATGGTGACGAAGTTAATCAGGAAGGGTTTAGGAGATGTTGTGCCCACTGTGACTATTTAAACCTGTGCCCACTGTGACTATTTAAACCTACCCAAACCAGAAACAGTGGATAGATGGCAGCATTCGCGCAAAACTGAAAGCGCGAACCACCGCATTTAACCATGGCAAGGTGACTGCGAATATGGCCGAATACAAACAGTGTAGTTATTCCCTCCGTAAGGCAATCAAACAAGCAAACGTCAGTACAGAGACAAAGTGGAGTCGCAATTCAATGGCTCAGACACGAGACGTATGTGGGAGGGTCTACAGACAATCACAGACTACAAAGGGAAAACCAGCCATGTCGCGGACACCGACATCTTGCTTCCGGACAAGCTAAACACCTTCTTCACCCGCTTTGAGGATAACACAGTGTCACCGACGCGGACCACTACCAAAGACTGTGGGTTCTCCTTCTCCGTGGCCGACGTGAGTAAGACATTTAAGCGTGTTAACCCTCGCAAGCCTGCCGGCCCAGACGGCGTCCCTAGCCGCGTCCTCAGAACATGAGCAGACCAGCTAGCTGGAGTGTTTACGGACATATTCAATCTCTCCCTATCCCAGTCTGCTGTCCCCACTTTATTCTATATGTCCACCATTGTTCCTGTACCCAAGAAAGCAAAGGTAACTGAACTAATTGACTATCGCCCCGTAGCACTCACTTCTGTCATCATGAAGTGCTTTGAGAGGCTAGTTAAGGATCATAATATAATATAATATAATATAATATGCCATTCAGCAGACGCTTTTATCCAAAGCGACTTACAGTCATGCATGCATACATTTTTGTTTATGGGTGGTCCCGGGGATTGAACCCACTACTTGGCGTTACAAGCGCCATGCTCTACCAGCTGAGCTACAGAGATCACTGTAGGACCATATGTTACAGGACAGAGAGAGCTCAATGCATCATATCACCTCTACCTTACCTGACACCCTAGACCCACTTCAATTTGCTTACCGTCCCAATAGATCCACAGACGATGCAATCGTCATCGCACTGCACACTACCTTATACCATCTGGACAAGAGGAATACCTATGTAAGAATGTTGTTCATTGACTATAGCTCAGCATTCAACACCATAGTACCCTCCAAGCTCATCATTAATCTTGGGGCCCTGGGACTGAACCCCGCCCTGTGCAACTGGGTCCTGGAGTTCCTGACGGGCCGTCCCCAGGTGGTGAAGGTAGGAAACAACACCTCCACTTCGCTGATCCTCAACACTGGGGCCCCACAAGGGTGCGTACTCAGCCCCCTCCTGTACTCCCTGTTCACCCATGACTGTGTGGCCATGCACACCTCCAACTCAATCATCAAGTTTGCAGACGACACAACAGTAGTAGGCCTGATTACCAACAATGACGAGACAGCCTACAGGGAGGAGGTGAGGGCCCTGGGAGAGTGGTGCCATGAAAATAACCTCTCACTCAATGTCAACAAAACAAAGGAGCTGAAGAAATTTGGCTTGACCCCTAAAACCCTCACAACTTTTACAGATGAGAGCATCCTGTCGGGCTGTATCACCGCCTCGTACGGCAACTGCACCGCCCGCAACCGCAAGGCTCTCCAAAGGGTGGTGCGGTCTGCCCAACGCATCACCGGGGGCAAACTACCTGCCCTCCAGGACACCTACAGCACCCGATGTCACAAGAAGGCCAAAAAGATCATCAAGGACATCAACCACCCAAGCCACTGCCTGTTCACCCCTCTATCATCAAGAAGGCTAGGTCAGTACAGTTGCATCATAGCTGGGACAGAGAGACTGAAAAACAACTTCTATCTCAAGGCCATCAGACTGTTAAATAGCCATCACTAGCCGGCTTCCTCCCGGTTACGCAACCTTGCACCTTAGAGGCTGCTGCCCTATATACATAGACTTGGAATCACTGGCCACTTTAATAATGGAACACTAGTCACTTTAATAATGTTTACATACTGCTTTACTCATCTCATATGTATATATGTATATACTGTATTCTATTCTATTGTATTTTAATATATTAGTCAATGCCACTCCGACATTGCTCAATCTAATATTTATATATTTCTTAATTCCATTATTCTACTTTTGTGTGTATTGTTGTGAATTGTTAGATACTACTGCACTGTTGGAGCTAGGAACACAAGCATTTCGCTACACCCGCAATAACATCTGCTAAATATGTGTATGTGACCAATATAAATTGATTTGATTTGAGGAAGGGCCTTTTTTTACAGTCTCTCTCTCATTCTTACACTCTCTGCCCACTCTCTTTGTCTCTCCTTATCTCTTATTTAGCGGCCCCAAACTTTTCTGAGTCGAGATCACTTTCTGAGTCAAAATGAAGGCTGAGATCTACCACTCAGATTAATTTTTAAACATGACTTAAAAAACATAAGCCTATGCAACATTAAACTATGCAACATTAACCTATTTGTCACGGTTTCGGCCGAGGCTGCCTCTCTTCCTTGCTCGGGCAGGCTTCGGTGTTCGTCGTCTCCGGAATACTAGCTGCCACCGTTGTATGTTTCTATGTTCGTTTGGTTTTGTCTGGATTATGTACACCTGTTGTCGTTTAGCGTCATTAGTGTCCTATAAGTTATCGTTGTGTTTGTCAGGTGTTGTGTGTGATTGTTTTCGCTGGCGTGTTGGTGCGCTACTATTTACAGTGCGCTATTGTAGCTTGCCTCCTTTGTGTAGGAGAGTATTTTTCGCACATGTTTAGTGCGCCCTTTTGTTTACGCCTGTGTGCGCATTTTCTCGCCTCCGGGCTGTTGGATCGTGTTTTGAGTGTGCATTACTAAAGTCTTTTGGACTTATCTTCTGCGTCCTGCGCCTGATTCCCACACCACACCCACCTACAGCACCCGCTGACAGAATCACACACCATACAGAATGGAATCAGCAGGAGCCGCAGCAGCACAGGAGACTTTGGAGGATCGGGTCCGGGAGCAGAATGACCAGATCCTTCGGATCGGGACCGCCCTGCAGGATGTTATTAACACACTTCAACGCTGGGAGACCCGAGGGACACCCCCAACTCCACCTCCCCTGCCATCACCATCAGCCAGTCAGCCCATTCCCGCTGCGGAACCCAGGGGAATTCGACTCTCGCTCCCGAGGGCCTACGATGGGACCGCTGCCGGGTGTCAGGGCTTCCTTCTCCAGGTGGAGCTATACCTGGCCACCGTGCACCCGGCGCCCTCGGGACACGAGAGCGTGTCCGCCCTCATCTCCTGCCTTACCGGCAAGGCGTTGGAATGGGCCAACGCCGAGTGGAGGAGGATAGACGCTACCACCATCACTTACGCTGAGTTCTCCCGCCGCTTCAGGGCGGTGTTTGACCATCCACCGGAGGGGAAAGCGGCGGGGGAGCGTCTGTTCTGCCTCCGGCAGGGGAGGAGGAGCGCCCAGGAGTTCGCGTTAGAATTCCGTACTCTAGCGGCGGATGCAGGGTGGAATGAGCGGGCCCTCATCGATCACTACCGCTGTAGTCTACGAGAGGACGTCCGTCGGGAGCTGGCCTGTAGGGACACCAGTCTCTCCTTCGACCAGTTAGTCGACATGTCCATCAGGCTGGACACCCTGCTGGCTACCCGCGGACGTTCCGAGGGGGGTCCGTCCATTTCACCCTCCAGCGCCTCCGAGCCGAGCCCTATGGAGCTTGGGGGCGCTGGCGCTAGAGAGAGGAGGGGTCGGAGTACGAGGGGGTCCGTCTCCTGCACCAACTGTGGCCGTGGAGGACACACCGCGGCTAGGTGCTGGGGATGGCCTCCTAGGGGAGAAGACGACAGGCCCCGCACTGGGGAGTCCTTCCAGGTGAGTAGGCGCCCCACTCACCCAGAGCTCTCTGTTGCGCACTTCTGTATACCTGTGCGTTTTCCACAGGTAGCACCTCATTCCCAGCATAAGGCGCTGGTAGATTCAGGCGCGGCTGGGAATTTTGTTGATAGGAAATGTTGTTTAGAATTAGGGATTCCCCTTCTTCCTGTTGACGTCCCATTCCCCGTTCATGCCCTAGATAGCCGTCCGTTGGGATCGGGCTTGATCAGGGAGGTCACGGCGCCACTTAGGATGTGTGCGCAGGGGGGTCATAAGGAGATGATCCAGCTATTTCTGATCGACTCGCCTGCGTATCCGGTGGTGCTGGGCATGCCCTGGTTGAGTATCCATAACCCGTCTATTTCGTGGCAGGAGAGGGCTCTGATGGAGTGGTCTGCCCAGTGTGTGGGTCGATGTTTAGGCGTTTCCGTAGGGGCTACCTCGGTGGAGAGTCCAAACCAGGTGCCCGCATTGCACGTTCCCCCTGAGTATGAGGATTTGTCTATTGTGTTCAGTAAGTCGAGGGCGACGCAGTTGCCTCCCCATAGGCAGGGAGATTGTGCGATAGACCTCCAGGCAGGAGCTGCGCTCCCACGGAGCCATGTGTATCCTCTGTCTCAGGAGGAGAAGAGAGCTATGGAGACTTACATAGACGAATCTCTGAGACAAGGATACATACGGCCATCCACTTCCCCTGTGTCCTCGAGTTTCTTTTTTGTGAAGAAAAAGGATGGAGGGTTACGCCCGTGCATTGAATACCGTAGTCTCAATCAGATCACGGTGAAGTACAGTTATCCACTTCCTCTGATTGCGACCATGACGGAGTCATTGCACGGGGCGCGTTTTTTCACTAAATTAGATCTCAGGAGCGCGTACAACTTGGTGCGCATTAGGGAGGGCGATGAATGGAAGACAGCCTTTAGTACCACCTCGGGCCATTACGAGTATCTTGTCATGCCATACGGGTTGATGAACGCTCCTTCAGTTTTCCAATCATTCGTGGATGAGATATTCAGGGACATGCAGGGGCAGGGGGTGGTCGTGTACATAGATGACATTCTCGTGTACTTGTCTACCCGAGTCGAGCATGTGGCTCTGGTGCGCCGAGTGTTGAGGAGGCTGTTGGAGCACGACCTGTATGTCAAGGCAGAGAAGTGTCTGTTTTTCCAGGAGTCGATCTCCTTTTTGGGTTATCAGTTGTCTGCGTCAGGGGTGAAGATGGAGGTTGACCGGGTGTCAGCCGTGCGTAATTGGCAAACGCCAACCACTGTGAAGGAGGTGCAGCAGTTTTTGGGGTTTGCGAATTACTACCGGAGGTTTATCCGGGGTTTTGGACAGGTGGCAGCTCCCATAACTTCTCTTTTGAAGGGGGGTCCGGTGCGTTTGCAGTGGTCAGCCGAGGCGGACAGGGCTTTTGGGAGGCTGAAGGACCTGTTTACCTCGGCTCCGGTGCTGGCGCATCCGGATCCCTCTTTACCATTTCAGGTAGAGGTGGACGCGTCAGAGGCCGGTATAGGAGCCGTGCTTTCGCAACGGTCCGGCACGCCACCTAAACTCCGCCCCTGTGCCTTTTATTCCAAAAAGCTCAGTCCGGCGGAGCGAAATTATGACGTAGGGGACAGGGAGCTGTTAGCCGTGGTACAGGCCCTAAAGGTGTGGAGGCACTGGCTTGAGGGGGCTCAACACCCTTTCCTCATTTTGACTGACCACCGTAACCTGGAGTACATCCGGGCAGCTAGGAGACTGAACCCTCGCCAGGCGCGGTGGAATATGTTTTTGACCCGGTTCGTATTTAAGATCACGTACATCCCTGGGTCACAGAACGGTAAGGCAGACGCACTGTCTCGGCGGTATGACACGGAGGAGAGGTCCGTGGAGCCCACTCCCATACTGCCGGAGTCTTGTCTGGTGGCACCGGTAGTGTGGGAGGTCGATGCTGAACTCGAGCGGGCGTTGCGCACCGACCCTAGTCCTCCTCAATGCCCGGAGGGTCGGACGTACGTTCCGCTCGAGGTTCGGGATCGATTGATCTATTGGGCTCACACGTCACCCTCCTCTGGACATCCTGGTATAGGCCGGACAGTGCACTGCCTTAGTGCTAAGTACTGGTGGCCCACGTTGGCGAGGGATGTGAGGGTTTATGTCTCCTCCTGCTCGGTGTGCGCCCAGTGTAAGGCGCCTAGACATCTGCCTAGGGGTAAGTTACTACCCCTGCCCGTTCCACAACGACCATGGTCTCACCTCTCGGTGGACTTCATCACTGACCTTCCTCCCTCACAGGGGAATACTACTATACTGGTCGTTGTGGACTGGTTCTCTAAGGCCTGTCGTTTGCTCCCTATGCCGGGTCTTCCTACTGCCCTACAGACCGCCGAAGCTCTATTCAACCATGTTTTCCGGCACTACGGGGTACACGAGGATATTGTGTCTGATCGAGGTCCCCAATTCACCTCCAGAGTCTGGAGAGCCTTTATGGAGCGGTTGGGGGTCTCGGTGACCCTCACCTCGGGTTACCATCCGGAGAGTAATGGGCAGGTGGAACGTGTGAACCAGGATTTGGGTAGGTTTCTTAGATCATACTGCCAGGACCGGCCGGAGGAGTGGGCACGGTACGTTCCCTGGGCAGAAATGGCCCAGAATTCCCTACGGCCATTCCTCCACTAACCTAACCCCTTTCCAATGTGTGTTAGGTTACCAGCCGGTTCTGGCACCTTGGCAGCAGAGCCAGATCGAGGCTCCTGCGGTGGATGAGTGGGTGCGGCGCTCAGAGGAGACGTGGAACGCTGCACACGTCCACCTGCAGCGGGCCCTCCGTCGTCAAAAGGCGAGCGCCGATCTCCACCGCAGTGAGGGACCGGTGTACGCACCTGGTGATCGAGTCTGGCTCTCTACCAGAAACCTGCCCCTCCGCCTGCCCTGTCGGAAACTGGGTCGGCGGTTTGTGGGGCCGTTTAAAGTCCTGAGAAGATTGAACGAGGTGTGTTACAGATTACAACTACCTATTGAGTATAAAAGTATTAACCCCTCGTTCCATGTGTCTCTTCTCAGGCCGGTGGTAGCTGGCCCACTCCAGGAAAATGAGATCAAGGAGACTCCTCCGCCCCCATTGGACATCGAGGGGGCACCGGCGTACTCCGTGCGGTCCATCTTGGATTCGAGACGTCGGATGGGGGGTCTCCAATATCTGGTGGAGTGGGAGGGGTACGGCCCGGAGGAACGGTGCTGGGTGCCGAGGAGAGACATTGTGGACCCATCTCTCCTGACGGAATTCCACCGTAGTCACCCGACGCGCCCTGCTCCGCGTCCTCCTGGTCGTCCCCGAGGCCGGAGTCGGCGCACGTCTGGAGCCGCGCGTCAAGGGGGGGGTACTGTCACGGTTTCGGCCGAGGCTGCCTCTCTTCCTTGCTCGGGCAGGCTTCGGCGTTCGTCGTCTCCGGAATACTAGCTGCCACCGTTGTATGTTTCTATGTTCGTTTGGTTTTGTCTGGATTATGTACACCTGTTGTCGTTTAGCGTCATTAGTGTCCTATAAGTTCTCGTTGTGTTTGTCAGGTGTTGTGTGTGATTGTTTTCGCTGGCGTGTTGGTGCGCTACTATTTACAGTGCGCTATTGTAGCTTGCCTCCTTTGTGTAGGAGAGTATTTTTCGCACATGTTTAGTGCGCCCTTTTGTTTACGCCTGTGTGCGCATTTTCTCGCCTCCGGGCTGTTGGATCGTGTTTTGAGTGTGCATTACTAAAGTCTTTTGGACTTATCTTCTGCGTCCTGCTCCTGATTCCCACACCACACCCACCTACAGCACCCGCTGACACTATTAAAAACAATTCTGTAGCAATGATGTTTGTAGTAGGCTATATGTCCAATACATATTGGCTATGCTTGAATTGCCCAGACAATGTTATTCTTTCAGACCATTTTAAAATTATATTTCAAAACTTAAGGTATATGATCACACTGGTAATAGATCATAATTTGGTGTTTTACTTGTGAGGCATAGCTGAGGGATTACAATTACAATAATTTGCTTACTTGATTTTACTGGACTGATTATGCCTCAGTGGAGGGAGAGCATCAGAGGGTCCGCCTCTCACCATCGTACCATCTCTCAGCTATGCCCCCTCCACCAAGACTTACCAAAAAGCAGTAGCGGTGCGTGGATAAAATCACTGGGGAAGCAAATCCAGAAAAAAAGCCATATTACAACCTATGTGTTGTGATAATTGCGTTGTTTGCTCTATAACCTTTAAGTTCATATCCCTTGAAACCGTGATATATAGACCTAACATGCTGACCACACAGCTTGTGTCGCGTGTGCGAGCGTTGCAAAATAAATGTACACATACATATTATTCAATCATTGCACCCACACTACTCACGCGCGTCAACGAGCATAAGCGTAGCCAGGCATTGAAATAGAACTAGGTTCTATTTGTGACGCTTGACGCGCTGCAAGTCCTGCCTCTCCCATCTCCTCTTTGGTTTTTCAGGAGCATATACCCACGTGGGTGATTGAAAGATGAACTGAGGTCCACACTCCAGTCCAGTTGGTAGTGGCAATGCACCTTAAAGTTGGTTGCCAACCACCATATAAAGTCCAAAGAAGAAGAAAAAGCCTGCAGGAGGAGAGATTGCTAGAAACAAACTTGGTTTACCCTTTTATCTGTGGATTAATTGTCGGTGTAGAGGACCTTGTGCATTTCAGGTAAAATAACAACCCAATGTTTATATCCCATGACAAATTAGATAGCAACAGCAAGCTATCTAGCTAAATTGCCATAAATGTTTAATGCTTTTCGACCTGTCCCCAAATTAATATAGTTGGTTCAGAGTTCGTTTTGATATTTCAACCTGCCTGTCCTGATCACGTTCGGTGTGGGTGGACAAAATCAACATGTCCTGATCACGGTCAGCATGTATGGACAAGGCAATAAGAAGACAGAGTAGCAGAATAAATTCAACCACAAAACATATTGCATGTAACAAACAGTTACATGACCTACAGTATGGTCAAGCAAGGTAATGTTTCTGACATTTTCGGACTACTAAACAACTGTTGATTTAGAATGATGGAGAGTCGCAAAGAAAACAGGAGCTGCCTCCACTATTCCAGCACCATTTCAACTTCGACATTTCAACATCATCTAATCACCTATGCATAGTCTAATACAGTGACAACTAAAAGATACCAAAAACGATTTAGTCCAATCAACGTAAACTAAATATGATGTGGCTGTCCATGGTACTGATTTCTGTGTGTGTGTGTGTGTGTGTGTGTGTGTGTGTGTGTGTGTGTGTGTGTGTGTGTGTGTGTGTGTGTGTGTGTGTGTGCGTGTGTGTGCGTGTGTGTGTGTGCGCGTGCAAGTAGAAAAAAACATGTTGACTCACCCTACTTGTAGAGAAACACCAATGCCATCCTCCTCTTTCATGTTGAATGAAACAGTATATGACTGTCATACATATCTTTTAGTTTTTGTTGTCCTATGCTACCTGGCTAAAATGCTTGCTCGCTAGCCTAACTACCTTTCATGGGCAACGATGCGCCAGGCCAGCTAGTTAACATTAGCCTACTGCATCTAGCTACATGATGAACGTCCATCCTCTCAGGCCAGGGGTGCAATGTATGAATTTATGGTTGGATCCGAATCGCTGTTATAATCATTGGCCAGTACTGAGAATTAAGTAAATCTACAAGTCCAAATCCCTATCTCCATCCATGGCTAATTTAGGACAGGGCTGATTATAGCTAGCTAGCTAGCCACCGGAGGACAACAACACAATGAGATGCAACAATTCATTTTTTATTTTTATTTTTTTAGATGCAACAATTCAATTCACAATGCATCCCTGACCACAGCCTGAAGTGGTCAGCCAGATCTGAACACAATCAGACCACAAAGCGACTTTTGTGCGTTAGACCCGTCTTTTCAATGCTATCTTCATATTCTGATAGCAGAAGTCGTAGGTAGGTGTCAAGTATAGACACGACCTTGGAGATCGACCAGTCGATCACAATCGACCATTTGGTGACCATCTATGGTTTTGTGAGCATCAACCGTTTGGTTATCCACTATCATAGAATTAAGGTGGGTCCTGCCTAGACAAACTCTACAACATTATATGCTGGCCATGTCAAGATTGTAAACTTACAGGAATTGGATGACATCAGTGCCACATTGACAGTAATTTACAGTAATTGGACGATATCAGTGCCCCATTGACAGAGACTGGACTGGACTACAGACACAAGTCGCTAATGTTCACATGATGAGGTAGCCTAGTCTGCAAACTTCAAGATCAGTGTCTGCCCTCAACCCAACATAAAATGTCCTCTAATGGTCTAATATGTTGTTTTTTCCCGTGGGAGACCCGGGTTCATATCCTGCATGTTACATATAGACTCCATTGGCTAGGCAGAATGGCATGCATGGGCTAGTTGCTCTGGCTATCTGTAGCTCTGTGTACAAGTGGAGCTGAGGTGGTTCAGTAAACTGTGCTTGCATGGTGAGTGATCTGATCTGAGACCTGAAGACCCGAGCCTTTAGGTCCGTGGACTAACATGGCCTTGATGTGTATTGACAACCCAGGTTTGACTCACAGGTGGTCCTCCAGACTGCTAGGGTGGCCAAGCAAAACAGGCAGCTGAGCTAGACAAGCCTATATGCAAGGACATTGAATAATGATGATGATGATGATGATGATGATGATGATGATGATGATGATGATGATGAGAAGGATGAGGGTGATAAGGATGTTTAAAGACTTTCCATATAAAATTCATTTCACAGTTCATCACAAGTTACATTTCCTGATTTTTCATAACCATCACTGATGATGGAAAATATGCTTCCAGGAAACATGCCTTTGGCTCTTTTTGATTCTTATTATTAGTTCCATACAATGCACATGATGTCCTAATTATGGTGATGGATGTATCTGGAATGTGTAAGGACAGGTTTACAGTGAAACTTGAGTTCAAGGAAGTAGTTTTACACCAACAAGAGGCTATAAAGTTGGTGTAGGTTAAAGACAGTGAAGGGGTGGTTTCTTTAGTTGCCTTGGAGACGGGGGTGGGGCCGTAAGTATTTGGAGTGAGAGGTTTTACACAGTTTCATTTGGATTTTACACTGAACTAGGCTACATAGCATAGTACCAGCGAAAACGACCGACCGTCGCCCTGAACACTATCCAGTTAGGACAAGACAATCAGAACCATGTGTGGTAAGAACGGAAAGCCTACATCTAATCTAGATAACCAGGAGACAAATGATGCATTATGCATGACAAGCAGTAGCCTAAAGTAGGCTCGTTATGTAGGGCCTATTGGAATCGTACAATAGTATTTGCTATGTTGTTTTGTAATTTAAAACCAGTCCGTTGGGAGCCATACCAAGGCAAACAGTTTTTGTGTGTATGTCACCTGACACTGTGTCAATGAGGTGCCATCCTTGTAGGCAATTTACATGTCAGCGTAGGCCAATTACATATACATAAATATAAACCTAGATTATATATAAATATAACTTGTATTATTTCTAGTAATAACCAAATAGGTTATCAGTGTTCTGCAGCGGTCCATATCTTGGTTGCACTCCGATCCATCCGCTGTAGACAATTAACATGCCAGTCTCATGGCATGCTCTGAGCTGCTACGTGTCAATGTAGCTCCTTGGAGTATTAATGACAGGTCTGGCAACATTTTAGGCTATGACAGGTCGGGAAAAATTGTTTTATGATCAGGTTATGATGATAGGCTACATCAATATGATACCATCAGACATCAATATGATACCATCAGCCCAGGAGCTTCATCCTCAAATATCCAATTTAACGAAATTTAGGCTATGCTTAAATATGTACTCTCATCCGAGTCGTTGGACTCTAAGCCTATTCACATTTCTGTTGCTTAAATGTGATTATGCATTATCAAAAAATATATGATTGTATGCTATTTAAATGCTTTTAGTTTTAGGGTTTTAATAGTAAATATTTGCATCGAGCTGAAGCAATCCAAGCAAAGCTTTACAGCCAACTGTAAATGTAAGTCGGCCAGTTTCTTCCTGGCATCTCCGACTGTAAATCTAGGTCTGTTAGTTTCTTCACCGCATCTCCTCCGGCCCCGGCCTAAAGTTAGCCTACCTGGTCGAGGCGGACACTGCGCGCAATGTGCTCCTCTCAATGGCCACATGTGTTGCACATACTGGGACCATTAATTGCACACGTCACAAACATTTGAGCCGCTCTCCAGAGGATAATGTGTCATTAGCTTTTTATCAGAAACCTTAGTAGGCTACACTGTAATGGATATTTAATTAAAAACTCGGTCATGTTGCGCATTATATCCCAGTCAGACAGCCCCAAATGTTCTGTAAACACCAGCTGGAGAGGCTCATACGAAATCAAAACAAAAAGGCAGTGACTTTGTCAGCTACAGAGTCAGTGTCCACAGAATTTCCTCAATACCATACAACAGTGAATAATCAGTGTGTCATCGGTCCTTGTACCTCCAGTCTGGCATCAATCACTATCAACAGATATGAGAATAATTCATTACAAGTCTATTGACCATCAATCCGCACCTTGAGTGTCACAAAAACTTCAATATGCTAAAGATTGTGTTGATCACTCTAAATCTAATTCCAGCATTGCACTCATGCATTGTAAACGCTGATGATTAATTTGCACCACTATGAGTTTCCCATGAGTGGCTTTTTTATTGCCAAAGCTTTGACTATATGATTCCATAATTTCTCCAGTTGGACACGGATTAGTTCATTGATATACACAGTTAATTATATATTATGATTAATGTCTAAGCTGTCCCAGTTGGCCATGTCAGTAACCTATCAGCGTAGGACACTGTCTCCATGTTCACAGCACATTATAGAGGATCATATTCCTAAACACAGGAATAGAGAATTATGAACAACAACAAACAACTGTTGGGCTACTGACTTTGCAGTATAGTACTTGCCTCCTCAACGGTTTTCTAGACCATAGTCTAGTACTGAATGGATAGTATACATTACACCTACACACTGCTCAAGTCTTTCAGTGAAAGAACTCATAAAACAGCTCGAGTTGAATGTGAAGATAGACTGAAAGAGAGGGTGAAATAAGTAGATAAGACTCTCTCTCTCTCTCTCTCTCTCTCTCTCTCTCTCTCTCTCTCTCTCTCTCTCTCTCTCTCTCTCTCTCTCTCTCTCTCTCTCTCTCTCTCTCTCTCTCTCTCTCTCTCTCTCTCTCTCTCTCTCTCTCTACCTCATTGCAGGGATCTTTGCCTACCTGAATTACTGTGTGCCTCGCACCAGAAAGGAGATATTTGAGACACTGGTGAAGGGACTGCAGAGGCTGGAGTACAGAGGCTACGATTCAGCAGGTATGGCCCTGGTTATCACCCTGAACACACACACAACAGATCCCTCACACTAAAGCCCACAGAGCACCACTCCCGCACCTGCATCTCACTATGTTTTATCCAGTCTTACTGTGGAACTGCACAGGCAGTGTACGGCTTATAGCACTGTCAGTACACTGTAAAACCCCAGTGACTAGTTATTCCTTCACGATGTGCTTCGGGGCGGTTAAACAGTGAGAATATTGATACAGAGACTCTGTGTGGTGATACTGAAGGTATGATATCTAATCACTTACAGCTGACCTGGCTTAAGGAAGCTGAGTGCTGCCGGATACTGTCAGTTATCATCCCGATGAGTGCATTGTCCTGCTATGTTGACATGCAGGTACTGTTGAAGCAGGTATACACATGTGATCACATGCTCCATGTGAAACTGGGTGTGGACACCCCATTTAGCTGGCGTACCAGTGGGCAAAAGGTAGCTCTAATACCTTATTACCACCTATCTGATCCTTTGGGTAGTAGGATCTTGGCTACGGCTAGGGGTTGATTTTGGGACAGGGCATCGGTCAGCAGTGTTCAGATAAATGAGATGAGGTGAACCCAGAAAGCAAAGAAGGCAGTGGTAGAGAGTCCTGAACATGTGAGGATAGAATCTGTTGCCCTATTCCTGTTCTGAGCCTCACCATACACCAATGATATCTGCCTCACTGATATTTACTATTGCTTTGGCATTTCTCCAATGGTAAATTCTACACACGCACACACACACACACACACACACACACACACACACACACACACACACACACATACAGTGCCTTCAGAAAGTGTTCACACCCCTTGACTTCCACATTTTGTTGTGTTACAGCCTGAATTTAAAATGGATTAAATTTAGATTTTGTGTCACTGATCTACACACAATACCCCATAATGTCAAAGTGAAATTATGTTTTTCGAAATGTTTTCAAATTAATAAAAAATGAAAAGCTGAAATGTCTTCAGTCAAGACATTGTTATGGCAAGCTTAAATAAGTTCAGGAGTAAACATTTGCTTAACAAGTCACATAATAAGTTGCATGGACTCACTCTGTGTGCAATAATAGTGTTTAATATGATTTTTAAATGACTACCGCATCTCTGTACCCCACACAAACAATTATCTGTAAGGTCCCTGAGTCGAGCATTGAATTTCAAACACAGATTCAACCACAAAGACCAGGGAGGTTTTCCTATGGTTCGCAAAGAAGGGTACCTATTGGTAGAACGGTAAAAAATATATATACACCCAGTCACTACAAAGGTACAGGTGCCCTTCCTGAATCAGTTGCCGGAGAGGAAGGAAACCGCTCAGGGATTTCAGCATGAGGCCAATGGTGATTTTAAAACAGTTACAGAGTTTAATGACTGTGATAGGAGATAACTGAGGATGGATCAACAACATTGTAGGTACGCCACAATACTCACATAAATTACAGAGTGAAAAGAAGGAAGCCTGTACATAATACAAATATTCCAAAACATGCATCCTGTTTGCAATAAGGCACTAAAGTAATATTGGAAAATATTTGGCAAAGAAAGGAACTTTTTGTCCTGAAAACAAAGCGTCATGTTTGGGGAAAATCCAACACAACCCATCACTGAGTACCAGTCTTCATATTTTCAAGAATGGTGGTGGCTGCATCATGTTATGGGTATGTTTGTCATCTGCAAGGACTAGGGAGTTTTTAGGATAAAAATTAACGGAATAGAGCTAAGCACAGGCAAAATCCTAGAGGAAAACCTGGTTCTGTCTGCTTTCCGAAACTGGGAGACAAATTTCAGCAGGACAATAACCTAAAACACAAGGCCAAATATACACTGGAGTTACTTACCAAGACGACATTGAATGTTCCTGAGAGGCCTAGTTACAGTGTCGACTAAAATCGGCTTGGAAAATCTATGGCAGAACTTGAAAATGGCTGTCTAGCAATGATCAACGACCAACTTGACAGAGCTTGACAAAGTTTTTAAAGAATGGGCAAATATTTTACAATCCAGGTGTGCAAAGCTCTTAGAGACTTACCGAGAAAGACTCACTGCTGTAATTGCTCCTAAAGGTGATTCTAACATGTATTGACTCAGGGGGTTGAACACTTATCTAATCAAGATACATTAGTGTTTTATTTTCCATTAATTTAAACAAATATAAAAACGAATATTTGAAAATATAGTATTTTGTGTAGATTGTTGACAAAAAATGTAATAGATTTTAATCCCACTTTGTAACACAACAAAATGTGGAAAAAGTCAAGGGTGTGAATACTTTCTGAAGGCGCCGTACACACACACATACACACACACCCTTGTGACTTACGTGAGCTGGTTGATATTCACAGGGATTCCACAGTAATCGTCTCTTTCCTCTGAAATTACAATTTAACTCTTCCCTGAATGATCTCACATTTAAGTGTTTTAAAGGCATTAAAGATGCGTTATAAAGGTTTTGTATAATTTCAGCCAGTAGTTTTGAAAGTAGTGCTCACGAGCCAAAAACATGTCCCCGAAAATGGTGTACTACGTCATCCATTTCATATAATATGTGACGTCCTGCAAAAAATAAATATATATATTTAGCAATTCGTATGATATTGTTACAAATCCAATTTGTACAATATGTTATGAATTTGATGTTCTTAAGATCTTATTGGGCGGCAGGTGGCTTAGTGGGTAAGAGCGTTGTGCCAGTAACCGAAAGGTTGCTGGTTCTAATCCCCGAGCCGACTAGGTGAAAAATCTGTCGATGTGCCCTTGAGCAAGGCACTTAACCCTATTTGCTCCTGTAAGTCGCTCTGGATAAGAGCGTCTGCTAAATGACCAATTATTATATTATTATAATTATTATTATTCAATCTCTTTATTTGAGCGTTTCATATGGATTAGGATGGATTTGGAGTCTTTCAAACAAGCTTTCAAATTGGACATGAATACTGCCTCAGTTGATGTTGAACTGATTCATTGACTGGCCTTGCAGCCTACTAGCTAGCAAGTTTAGCCTTCATTGACGATGATTGGTTTAGGATTTGTATTGGTATACATTTGCCTCAGTAGTTTTTCTCTCTGGTCTCAGGCATCGCTGTGGATGGTGACAAAAACACAATGACAGATGACATCAACAACAACATCGTTCTCATTAAGAAGAAAGGCAAAGTCAAGGCCCTGAATGAAGAGCTCTACAGTAGGTCTCATGGATACATCCTTTCTCTCATTTCCCCCATCACATTCCTCTCCTCCAGCGGCAGATATGTGTTTCCGAAGAATCCCATGGCCTGTACCTCTTTCTTCTTGATGACTCCTTTCTTTTTCGGCCTCAGGACACTTCTAGTGCACTTCTCTCCCTCTTCTATTTCTCCTCTTCTATTTCTCTTCTTCTCTGTCCTAACCAAATACCTCTTTAATGAAAGAGGGTACAGTGTAGGGTTACGGTATGGGTGGAAGGGTTATGGTAAGACATTGAGCTCGGCTGAATTACCAGACTCGTAGGCAGTCCTCTGTCAGCTTTACCCTATCACTGTACCCATTATTGACTGATCTTAAATCTGATCATGTCACTGTTCAATCATTGATAGAATACCTTTGTTCTTATTGTTGATCAGTGCTTGATGTGTTTTTGTGATCAGAGAAAGACTGCATGGATCTGGAGGCGGAGTTGGACACACACTTTGGCATGGCTCACACACGCTGGGCCACACACGGAGAACCCAGCGCCCTCAACAGCCATCCCCACCGCTCCGACAAGAACAATGGTAACACACAATCACCTGTGTACACACACACACCGTTCATACCTGCACACAACATACAGTGCAGACATACACACCAACCCACTGCTCTGTCATGGCTTTGACATAGTTCTCTGGTTAATGGAGGTATCATGAGTCAGGTGAGCTGGCTTTTGTTCTGGTTACTGATTGGCTAGATATCTCAAAATGTAAAACACACCTAGCATACTGTGACCAGCCCAGGTCTCCCCTCAGCTCTCTCTTAAAGGGTGTGGGAGGCTTGGGTGTGGGAGGCTTCAGTGTGGGAGGCTTCAGTGAAAGGAGTATTTACATACATGCAAATGATAGACAGAGAGAATCAGCCTTTCACAGAGGCCGGCCAGACAGCTAAACAGACAGACAGACAGGGTCTTGTTCAGTTGACCTTAAACATAGCTATGTCCTTCCTCAGGCACACATTTTCATATGTGTTCTTTGTGTTAAAGATAACTATGTTTAGAGTCAATTTCACCTGTATATATTCCAAGTTCTGACCGCATGCCAAGGTGTGTGTGAGTGCGTCAGGACTCAGGGTACACCGCTTAACTATGCAGTCAGGCAGAAATGACAGGAATTGCTGTTAAGATACACTACATGACCAAAAGTGTGTGGACACCTGCTTGTCGAACATCACATTCCAAAATCATGGGCATTAATATGGAGTTGGTCCTCTCTTTGCTGCCATAACAGCCTCCACTTTTCTGGGAAGGCTTTCCACTAGATGTTGGAACATTGCTGCGGGGACTTGCTTCCATTCAGCCACAAGAGCATTAGTGAGGCCAGGCACTGATGTTGGGCGATTAGGCCTGGCTCGCAGTCGGCGTTCCAATTCATCCCAAAGGCTTGTGTGCAGCTGCTCGGCCATGGAAACCCATTTCATGATGCTCCCGACTAACAGTTATTGTGCTGACGTTGCTTCCAGAGGCAGTTTGGAACTCGGTAGTGAGTGTTGCAACCGAGGACAGACCATTTTTACATGCTACGTGCTTCAGCACTCAGCGGTCCCGTTCTGTGAGCTTGTGTCCCTACCACATCGCGGCTGAGCCGTTGTTGCTCCTATACATTTCCACTTCACAATAACAGCACTTACAGTTGACCGGGGAAGCTCTAGCAGGGCAGGAATTTGACTAATTGACTTGTTGGAAAGGTGGCATCTTATGACGGTGCCACGTTGAAAGTCACTGAGCTCTTCAGTAAGGCCATTCTACTGCCAATGTTTGTCTATGGAGATTGCATGGCTGTGTGCTCGATTTTATACACCTGCCAGCAATGGGTGTTGATGAAATAGCCGAATCCACTCATTTGAAGGGGTGTCCACATGCTTTGGCCATGTAGTGTATGTTAAGAGGATTTCCTGACTGATTTCTCGCTGTCTCTATTTCCTGACTGATTTCTCGCTGTCTCTATTTTCCCTCAGAGTTTGTTGTCATCCACAACGGCATCATCACCAACTACAAAGAGTTAAAGAAGTACCTGGTAAGACAAGTCCTACTCTATCTCTCCACTCCCCTTTCTGTATTTCTATAGTTGTACTCTATTTCAGTATAAATTACTCCACCGTAAAGATCAGCCTGTTTTGGGTCACACCCTTGGTAAAGATCCGAGATATGATCAGAAGTGTTATAGGATTTCAAGTCTTCTGTCATCCATTGCCTTTGACGATCTTAGGCCTGGGTCCTTTGTTTTGGGCTTTTTGACCGATGACTGTTGCACTATTCTACACATCATTTACATTTACGTAATTTAGCAGACGCTGTTATCCAGAGCGACTTACAAATTGGTGCATTCACCCTATAGTGGGATAACCACTTTACAATTTATTTATTATTATATTATTTTTTTATTTTTTTTTGGGGGGGGGGGTAGAAGGAGTGCAAGTGATTTGAAATGGCATTGACAAAGTGGCAATGGGCAATGTTTGCTTAGGCCAACTTGTGGAAATCATACAGCGCACCTTTTTTCTTCTGAGTCAGCTTGCCTTTTGTCTGTCTGGTTTTGTCAGTCCAGTTTAGCTGGTTCTGCCCAGTTAGCACATAACGTTCTGAGAACCATATGTTTCTTAGAGCTTGGTGAGAGCATGGTTATCCTATGGTTATTTTGCATACAACCTTCCCACAACTTTCTGGGAATGGTGCATGATAGTTGCTTGGCTTTGGAACATTCCATTTTCTTGGTATTTCATTACTTAAACATGGTTACATTTCATTTACATTTTGGTAATGTTCTAGGAACGTTCTCCAACTGGTTTGACATTAGGAATGTTCTCAAATATTTCAGAGAATGTTAAGAAATAACGTTCTTCTGTGGGAATTTCAGTACTTTCACAGAACATTCCACACAAGTTCCCATGTGGTTCTATTTAATGTAATATTTTTACTACATTCTGGGAAAGTTATAAAGAATTGTATGACTTAAGCAATGTTCTCAGAACGTTCAGATAATGTATGGTTCTCTTTTGGCAATATTCTGGGAATGTACAAAAAAGAAGGAAATTGTACACATTAACATCAATTAACTCTAAATTCCGTTCTCAGAACGTTAAGAAAACTTTCCATTAAAAACACAAGAAAAATGTAGTAACGTTCAGAAAACATTCTAAGAATGTTATTTAAAAACATATACATTTGGTTCTCAGCATCAACCAAAATCTCTCTATCCTCTATCTTTTTAAGTGTGTTCAGGTGTGTCGGCCGCACCCACTAATTGGCCACACCTGATCTTAATGAGTTCTTGTTTCCTTTGAAAATAGGTCTGTTTAAATAGACTAAAATAAACAGCTTTGTATGGTTAAAAGAACATGGGATGCTATCTCCATCATGGTGACGCAGTGGACTTGGATAGAGAACAGAAGATCATAGGTTTGATTCTCACTGATGCCGTGTCACAATACGACTAATGCCTAAGGAAATTAATGTGTCCTATCTGTGCTTGGAGTTAAAAAAAGTTAACCCAAAATAAGCTAGCAGTGTTAGTAAAAGCCTTATTGAAACATTTTGTGAAAGTTTTAAGGAAGTTTTTCAAACTCGTCCAAAAAACCTATATTTTCCGTTCTCAAAGCGTTAATAAAACCTCCCATGAAAGCTTTGAAAGGAACCAGAGTAAAACGTTCTCAGAACCAACATTTTCACTTCTGTTCTTAGAACATTTAAAAAACGTTATGTTTTACTGGTCAGGAAACTTTTGGCTTCGATCCCACAACCAATGTGAAACCAAAAACATTAGTTCCCACAACTTCCAAGGAACCAAATGTGCTAGCTGGGTGCCTTCTCCTCCTTAACTATAATGGGTATAAATAGATGACTGTACTTACCTCATCTTAGATCTGTTTGTGCTGTAGCCAACTCCTCTGACTATTGGTGTTATGCTAGCAGAGTTATTATGCTAGCTAATGCACATGTATTTAACCTTTATTTAGGCAGGGAGTCCAATTGAGACCAAGGAAGCCTTGCATGAAAAGCCCAGCAATTACACAATAAAAGTTAGAGGCATATCAGGGAGTGCTGCTTCAGTAAGCTTGTAAAATTCATTCTGATCCCCACCCTCTTTCAGAACTCCAAGGGCTATGAGTTTGAGTCAGAGACCGACACAGAGGTCATCCCTAAACTGATCAAATACGTTTACGACAACCGAGAGAGAGAAGACCTGTCCTTCTCTACGCTGGTGGAGAGAGTCATTCAACAGCTGGTGAGTACTGGGACACTCAATCAATACAATTTATTTATAAAGCCCTTTTTACATCAGCAGATGTCACAAAGTGCTTATACAGAAACCCAGCCTAAAACCCCAAACAGCAAGCAATGCCGATGTAGAAGCACGGTGGTTAGGAAAACCTCCCTAGAAAGGCAGGAACCTAAGAAGAAACCAGGCTCTGAGGGGTGGCCAGTCATCTTCTGGCTGTGCTGGGTGGAGATTATTAGAGTACCTGGCCATTAAGGCCAGATCGTTCTTTGACCAGCAGGGTCAAATAATAATCACAATGGTTATAGAGGGTGCAACAGGTCAGAACCTCAGGAGTAAATGTCAGTTGGCTTTTCATTGCCGAGCATTCAGAGGTCGAGCCAGCAGGTGCGGGAGAGAGGGAGAGAGGGAGGGAGGGAGGGAGGGAGGGAGGGAGGGAGGGAGGGAGGGAGGGAGGGAGGGAGAGAGGGAGGGAGAGAGAGAGGGAGAGAGAGAGAGGGTTGAAAACAGAAGGTGCGGGAGAGAGAGAGAGAGAGAGAGAGAGAGAGAGGAGAGAGAGAGAGAGAGAGAGAGAGAGAGAGAGATATATGAAAACAGCAGGTCCAGGACAAGGTAGCACTTCAGGTGGACAGAACAGCAGAAACTGGATCAGCAGCATGACCAGGTGGACTGGGGACGGGGACAGCCAGGAGTCATCAGGCCAGATTGTCCTAGGGCTCAGGTTCTCCAGGAGTGGAGAGAGAGAGAGAGAGGGAGAGGGAGATGGGAGAATTAGAGGGAGCATACTTATGTTCACACAGGACACCAGATAAGACAGGAGAAATACACCAGATAGGATAGACTGACCCTAGCCCCCCGGCACATAGACTATTGCAGCATAGATACTGGAGGCTGAGACGGGGGGGTCGGGGGTCACTGCAGCCCCGTCCAACGGTACCCCTGGACAGGGCCAACCAGGCAGGATATAACCCCACCCACTTTGCCAACACCTACTGTACTACTATATTGTTACTATAGTACTACTACGGTACTACTACTACTGCTGCTACTACTACAACTACATTTTTAGATTTTAGTCATTTAGCAGACGCTCTTATCCAGAGTGACTACAATTAGTGCATTCATCTTAAGATAGCTAGGTGAGACAACACATCACAATCGTATCAAGTAGATTTCCCTCAACAAAGTATTTAACAGCAAAGTCAGTGCTAGTGGGAAAATAAATGTTTATGTTTTTTATTTTCTGTTTGGGGGGGGTGTCGGAGGCGCCGTGAGAGTTATTTAAAGTACTCTTCAAAGACTACTAGTACGCCGACAACGACTACTACTGCGGCTGCTGCTGCTGCTGCTACTATTACTACTAAACAAAAATGAATTGCTTAACAAAATGACAAAGCATCCCCTCAGATTCACATCTGGCCCTATGATGAATGCCATCTCTGAAACAGCATTGTAAGGGAGTGTTTTCAACAACAGAGCAACAATCTCCCCCAGTTCCCCTTCATCATACCATAGCCCTGTCCTGTGGCTCTGTGTCATAGAGTGGGTCATTGAGTCCAGTCGGGCCTAAAATCTGACCGCCCTCCCATCTCTCTCCGTTCAGCCCAGTATGACGTTACCTCACTTTCCTTCCCATTAATAGTGTTACACCATCACCAAAACAGTCACCATGGCAACCAACCCAGCAACATCTTTAGTGACATCATGATCTGTATATCTGGTGACCAGGAGCGAGACACTTTTTCAAATCACTTTTGTACCAACTAGAACTAGATTGCTAACTAGTCTCGCTCAGTTCTTCACACACTCTTGTTGTTGAGTTTGGTCTTATTGGAGCCAGTCCTATCTCAGCCCCATCTCCCGTCTCCCTGGCTCACTGTAAAAGCTCTGAGAAGAACACAGAGGATGAAGTGTACAGCTTCACTGGGTTTGGGCTAATAGGAACCAGACCAGAGCAGAACCCTTACAGCCTAAAGACCATTGCTCCTTCCCCTCCTCTCTCCTCCATCTCTCTCCCACTCTTGGCGAGAGTGCTGGCAGTATGTTGGAAACAGAGCTGATTTTATACAATAGGGGTCTTATTCCCCCTAACTTCCCTGAACATCCCCCCCCCATCCCTCCTACACATCCCCACTACTACCCTCCACGAGGGGGAACACAGATGGAAAGACTGTCTCCAAAAAGAAACAGGGAATTTGAATGTTGTTTTGTAAGGTCACTGTCGGTCTGTTCGACTGAAACTGTCCTCTACATTTTCCTTCGTTGTATTTCTTCTTTGTACAATTCCTTCTCATCTTCATCCTTCTCCTCTTCCTTGTCATGTTCGTCGTCATCATCATGGACCTTAACAGACATGTTTGTATTCTCTCCTCTTCGTCACCCTGTCTTAGGAGGGGGCCTTCGCTCTGATGTTTAAAAGCCGTTATTTCCCCGGAGAGGCGGTAGCCACCAGGTCAGTATCTATGTCCACTCACACACACATCTCTGTCCGTCTGGCCTATGCCATGACCACACACATCTCTGTCCGTCTGGCCTATGCCATGACCACACACATCTCTGTCCGTCTGGCCTATGCCATGACCACACACATCTCTGTCTGTCTGGCCTATGCCATGACCACACACATCTCTGTCCGTCTGGCCTATGCCATGACCACACACATCTCTGTCCGTCTGGCCTATGCCATGACCACACACATCTCTGTCCGTCTGGCCTATGCCATGACCACACACATCTCTGTCCGTCTGGCCTATGCCATGACCACACACATCTCTGTCCGTCTGGCCTATGCCATGACCACACACATCTCTGTCCGTCTGGCCTATGCCATGACCACACACATCTCTGTCCGTCTGGCCTATGCCATGACCACACACATCTCTGTCCGTCTGGCCTATGCCATGACCACACACATCTCTGTCCGTCTGGCCTATGCCATGACCACACACATCTCTGTCTGTCTGGCCTATGCCATGACCACACATAAGTCTGTCTGGCCTTCACACACTAAAGTATGAAACATTACTAAAACAACATAATCATTCCAACTAAAACAACATAATCATTCCAGGACATCAGACTGCTAAATAGTCACCACTAGCCTTATCTTAGCTCATTGGTCACCATAGCAACACCCACCCGTAGTCTGCGCTCTAGCGGGTATATCTCACTGGTCATCCCCAAAGCCAACACCTCCTTTGGCCGCAATTCCTTCCAGTTCTCTGCTGCCAATGACTGGAACAAATTGCAAAAATCTCTGAAGCTGGAGACACTTATCTCCCTCACTAACTTTAAGCATCAGTTGTCAGAGCACCTTACCGATCACTGCACCTGTACACAGCCCATCTGAAATTAGCCCGCCCAACTACCTCATCCCTATATTGTTATTTATTTTTGCTCATTTGTACCCCAGTATCTCTATTTGCACATCATCTCTTGCACATCTATCATTCCAGTGTTAATACTAATTGTAATTATTTTGCACTATAGCCTATTTTATTGCCTTACCTCCATAACTTGCTAAATTTGCACACACTGTATATATATGTATTTCTGTTGTATTTTTTTTTTTTGACTTTGTTTTGTTTTACCCCATATGTAACTCTGTGTTGTTGTTTTTATCGCACTGCTTTGCTTTATCTTGGCCAGGTCGCAGTTGTAAATGAGAACTTGTTCTCAACTGGTTTACCTGGTTAAATAAAGGTGAAATAAAAAATAAAAAAATAGCCGGCCTCCGCCCAGTACTCTACCCTGTACCATAGAGACTGCTGCCCTAGTCATTGAACACTGGTCACTTTAATAATGTTTACATAGTGTTTTACCCACTGCATATGTATATACTGTATTTTAGTCAAGGCTCATCCTATATAACTACTGCTGTAAACACATGTTCTATTCCTATACTGTCCATAATGTCTATACACACCATATTATACATACAGTATATATTTATATTGCTCGTTCTAATATTTCTATCTTTCTTAATTCATTTATTTTTATTTATTGGATTTGCATATATCGTTTTGTATTGTTAGGTATTACTGCACTGTTGGGAACATAAGCATTTTGCTACACCCGCGAAAACATCTGCAAAATGTGCGTACGCGACCAATAACATTTGATTTGATTTGAAAGGATCAACACCCATTGGCATTGACTCATCGTCTCAGCTATTGCCACAATAAAACAATAACAGCCTGACTCTATATAGCCCTATATTGATCTTCAGACTGTGTGTCTCTGCCAAGCTTCTATTCCCTCTAATTAATGCATCAGCTATGATGACTGGAAGTTGCAACAGTCATGGCTGATGGTAAAGGGGTGGAAGTGTGGGGTGGGTCTCTGTGTGTGTACTCTTGCATGCCTGCATGTGTGTATTCAAGCTTGTGTTTGTTAGTTTGTGTGCATCGTGCATGCTTATGTATGTAAGTGTGTGTGGTACAGAGAAGCATTGCTGCAGTGTGTGTGAGACCCAGGCAGAGGGGGAGAAAGAGAGGGGTGTGATCCAGGTTCAGTCACTCCTTGCTGGGGCTCTCTAGGGCTGGCCTCCTGCCTGGCTCTTCTCTACTCTTTGTGACTCATTGAAGGAAGACTATGCTCTGTTTCCTCTTGCTGCTTAGGAAAAAACCCTGGCCAGAACCAATCATACTCAATCACCTCCAATCACTTTATTTATTTCTCTCTGTTTCCTCGTTGGAGGGAGAGAGGGAGTGGTGAGATGAGGGTTGTTGACCTATGGTAAAGAGGAGGAGGGTTCCCTTTTAATTGCTACCATTGTTATGCATTTCACATTTCTTCTGTAAGAAATATTTCAATTTAGCCCTATCTATATAGGCCAATTAAGTGTAAAGGGTTAAAACAACCAGCACAGCAGTGTGCCTTCCTGCCTGATGTCACTCTTCCCCAGCTACAGCTCCCTGCTCCCAGCCCAACGTACAGGACTGTCAGAGAAGAGAAGGATACAGTAAACAGAGGGAAAGAAAAGAGTGTAATTGAGAAACGTGGCTGTTTTCTCGGTTGGGAATTACCCCAGCCAGGTGTAAGCTGTCAAGCACAACAATGACTTAGATATTTATGATTGCAGTATTTTTGATGGAGTGTTAAGAGTTATGTTTGAGTACTTTTATCAGGTGCTTTGTGTACACACTGTCATAGGTCCTATTTGACACTGTAGGAATAAAGGTGTGAGCTATATTCAGGTTATGTTTGGCACACCCTCTCCCCTCACCTGTCGCGGTCACACCCATCTGCACCTGCATACCTGCATCAGCCAATCAGAGAAGCACACATAGAGTACTGGAGATGAGGAAGCTAGAAACATGAGCAGGAACTGAACTCATCCACCTGTAGGGGAGAGGGAGGAAAAGGAGCAAAAAAGTGCTAGAAAATAAGAGAGAGACAGCAAGAGGCAGTGTGACTTCAATGTGTGTGTGTGTGTGTGTGTGTGTGTGTGTGTGCGCGCTTGCATTTGTGTTTGTTCTCTGAAACAAATCTAACAATTTCTCTCCATCGACCCCCTCTGTCTTTCTCACGCTCGCCCTCTCTTTTCCCCTTTCTCCCCATCCCTCTATCCATCCCCCTTTCTCTGTCTATATCCTTCAGGAGAGGAAGTCCTCTTCTCATTGGTGTGCGGAGCAAGGATGAGCTGCCTACAGAGCACATTCCAATCCAGTACAACACTGGTGAGCTCTGTTCCCCTCTATCAGACATGATCACTTTACAGTGTTCTTAAACCTTTCAGTCTGCCTACTGTTCTCACAGCAACCTGACTGTGTTATCAACCTAAAACACACCGTATTTCAATCAAACCACAACTGAACACCTTTGGTTACATTATCTTCATGCACCGATCTCTTAATTTGAGATAAGAGGGTGTAACTGACGCATAAATATTGCATATGAGATTTGCATGAAAAGTTTACTTATATGTCTGTAGTTCAAGTCCCGATTCAGGTCAATATGAAACACCCATACATTATCTAATTAACTAACCAACTCATTAGCTAACTAACCAACCAGTCAGCTAACGTAATGCAGTTGTTCCAAGCTAACCCCTGTCAGAGCTATCTGTGTTCGTGAGCAGTATCTGTATCTGTGTCCTAACACTAACAGTAGCAGTACTTACCATCTGGTCCAGACTAATGGTTATGAAAGCCTGTTCTCCTGTGTGGGATAACATGTAATAATCTAAGGCTAACCCTAATCCTGTCAAATCAAATACAAATCAAATCAAATTTTATTGGTCACATACGCGTGTTTAGCAGATGTTATTGCGGGTGTAGCGAAATGCTTGTGCTTCTAGCTCCGACAGTGCAGTAATATCTAACAAGTAATATCTAACAATTTCACAACATATACCCAATACACACAAATCTAAGAAAGGAATGAATTAAGAATATATAAATATATACATATATGGACGAGCGATGTCAGAGCGGCATGGACTAAGATACAGTAGAATAGTATAGAATACAGTATATACATATGAGATGAGTAATGCAAGATATGTAAACATTATTCAAGTGGCTAGTGTTCCATTTCTTAAAGTGGCCAGTAATATCTAGTCTATGTCTATAGGCAGCAGCCTCTAATGTGCTGGTGATGGCTGATTAACAGTCGGATGGCCTTGAGATAGAAGCTGTTTAGATAGGTGCTGTAGGTGTCCTGGAGGGCGGGTAGTTTGCAGACCACACCACCCTCTGGAGAGCCTTGCGGTTGCGGGCGGTGCAGTTGCCGTACCAGGCGGTGATACAGCCCGACAGGATGCTCTCAATTATGCAACTGTAAAAGTTTGTGAGGGTTTTAGGTGCCAAGCCAAATTTCTTTAGCCTCCTGAGGTTGAAAAGGCTCTGTTGTGCCTTCTTCACCACACTGTCTGTTTTTGTGGTCCATTTCAGTTTGTCAGTGATGTGTAAGCCAAGGAACTTGAAGCTTTCCACCTTCTCCACTGCGGTCCCGTCGATGTGGATAGGAGGGTGCACCCTCTGCTGTTTCCTGAAGTCTACAATCATCTCCTTTGTTTTGGTGGCGTTGAGTGAGAGGTTATTTTCCTGGCACCACACTCCCAGAGCGCTCACCTCCTCCCTGTAGGCTGTCTCGTCTCTTCATTGTCCTGTCTGTAGCTCTGTACTACTTTGTCCTGAGGGACAGTGCAGTTCATTAAGTGGTCCCAGTGGGACAGAGAGCCGTAGGTGTGCCAACTACCCAATTAACACTTGGGTGTTGTGGCTTGACCATTGATTGGATGTTCAGATTACTGCACTGTTGGCGCTAGAAACATAAGCATTTCACTGCACCTGATAACATCTGCAAAATATGTGTACGTGACCAATAACATTTGATTTGATTGAACCACCTCATAAGAATTGCATGACTAACAACAATCACATTCCCTTAAATCAGACTAATGTCTCCAATGAATCAACTGTTGCATGATTTCATGAAACTACTCTCCAAAGAGTCAAGTCCAAAAATGACAAGATTCATATTTAAATATGTTTGAGAAATCACTCTTGCTTCTTGTGGAAATGCCAATACTGTGTTTAACCTCTATGGGTTATCATAGGCTAACGTCATGGTCACACTCAGTTAATAACATACAATTGCAATATAACATTCTCAATATAACATTCAAAGTTCCCTTTCTTCTAATGAATAGGGTGCAGAATTCTCATACAGTAACTAAAATCCACACACAATGAGTAGGACAGATGTCTCCAAATGATACATTTAAAATATGTATCTTGACATGTGTGTCACAATAAATCTGCCCCTTACCTACTCATCAGTTAATAACAGACATGGGTTTGGTTTGTTATGTTCTCTCTGTGTGTATCAACTCTCTGGAGACAGAACACCCTGTAGGTATGTTGACTGTCTTCATCGTGTACATATGTTGACTGTGTCTTCATCTGTTTACTTAACTACACTTAGATATATTATTGCAGTTTCTTGCTGGAGACTAGTGTACCTGAAGTGGGTTGGGTCCAAAGTCCAAGGCCCAATGAGAAAGGAATGAGGAAGACAATGAGATAATGGGGAGCTTCTCTCAATACTATAAAGTGGGTTCCTTCGCTCTGCTCCTTTCCCTCATCTCTTTTAAAACACAGGATAGGTGAAAGCAACATAGTGGATGCCTACTGTAAATGTGTTTTCGCCTGTGGAGTGCAGAAGAAGGAAAAGAGACAAATAGAGAGCCTAAGGTCACTTATCGCTATTGGGGACTAATACTCCTGGCCCCATCATGACTGTGCTAAAGGGCAAACATCCCTCAGCTGCATTCAGTCACCTCATAAATAATATGTGACAAATCAATACGGATGGCAGTTTGAACCTTCACCTGATTATTCATTCCAGAATCTTCTGAGGTGAAGCTATGTAACCAGATGATTAGCATGTTTATTGATGGTCAAAGGACCCTTGGATCAGACCCTCTGTTGTTTGTCAATCACGATCATGAACTCTAAACCAACCTTGTTTTGGTTTACAATCATTGGGTTAAAACAGCTTTTATCAGTTTATGAAAAATGTCTAAATATTTTAGGTGAAGAGTTCAATTAAAGCAGAAGTGTTGATTTCAGTGATCCATCTCTGGTTGTCCCAGTGCTCAGTCTGAACCATGAACCCTAACCCCTGCCCTCTACCCCCTGCCCTCTGTCCAGTAGCTATGTTCAAAGAGGGGGTCAAGGAGAAGAACAGCCATAACCGGTCAGACAACTCCACTGCTGTGAATTCTGTTGGAGACAGCAAGGCTGTGGAGTACTACTTTGCTTCTGATGCTAGGTGAGCTGAAAGCCCTAGGTGTGTGTTTGTGCATACGTGCACGGTGTGTGTGTGCTTGTCTCATGCTCCTTTCTCTTCCTCCGCCTCTCGCTCTCCCTGCCCAGTGCCATCATAGAGCACACCAACAAGGTGATCTACCTGGAGGATGATGACATAGCAGCGGTTGTAGGGGGGAAGCTGTCCCTCCACAGGCTGAACCGCCTGGCAGGAGAGGATCCTGTCCGGGCCATCCAGACCCTCCAGATGGAATTGCAGGAGATCATGAAAGGTCAGAGGTTAGAGGTCATAGGGCTCATCGCCATGGCAACCTAAGGGTTAATTACGAGTAGGTTAGAGTGTCCCAGGCCCTACACACTGACCTAGGGTCAGTTCTGTATAAGGTTAAGGTGCAATATTTAGGATTTGATGAGGGAAAGCTGATTCTAGATATGTGCCTAAGTGGAGCTTAAACCTAGAGCCGGTCAGTATCGATAACTTCCCAATCACACACACACGTCAAAGATAAGATCTAGTGTCATACTAGTGAAACGTAGTCTGATTTTACACAGAGAACACATACCCATTTGGCCACACATACTTTACTGAAGCTGCTATCTATAGCTCTAAGAACACTAGAATAAGATCTCCCTCTGCTGACGTCAGTGAGTAGCTACGCCTGTGACCTAACCATTGTCCCTATTGTGTCCTTATCTTCTCTGTGCAGGTAACTTTGAGGCATTCATGCAAAAGGAGATCTTTGAGCAGCCAGAGTCTGTGTTTAACACCATGAGGGGGCGGATCTGCTTCGACACCAACAAAGGTAGCTTACCATGACGATGTCATATCCTGATCCTGTCACTCCCTATTGTTCCAGGATGCTGATGACACAGTGCCCTAGGCTAAATCAATATTAGCACAGCAACTCTGTTTGATGTGAAAAGTAGGCATTGGTCTGAAGCCTAAAAATAAAGGAAAATCACGAGCACCACAATGCATACTTCACCCATGCTCCACCAAGGTTTTCCAGCACACAACTTGGACCTACTACAGTAGCTATGTTGGTCTATTTATTTACTTAACCTTTATTTAACCAGGAAAAGCCCATGGAGACACTGTCTCTTTTCCAACGGAGACCTGGCCAAGAAGGCAGCAACAATCAAATACATTACAGAATTAAAACTAACAACAATACAATACAACAACATGATCCAGCCTAAAAAAAGCATTTACACTCCTCTGTAACAGTCTCCCATCAACATTTTAAATTAATTCAGTGGCACTAACATATCTAGATGTAGCATGGATTGTAGACTATTCCATGCCTCTGGTGCACAAGACGAGAAGGCAGTCTTGCCTAATACTGTAAGTGTCCTGGGGACGTTAAGTAGCAACCACCTAGCAGACCGGGTATGGTGACTGCTAGTGGTGAAGGAGACCAGACTACAGAGGTAAAGAGGGAGTTTACCCAAAAGGGCTTTGTAGATGAACACAAACAAATGTAGCTTTCTGCGCATATAAAGTGAGGTCCAACCCACCATTTGGTAGAAGGTACAATGGTGGGTGAGTGACTTGGCATTTGTAATAAAGCGCAAGGATGCTTGATAAACAGAGTCCAGTCTTTGTAAGACAGAGGAGGCTGCATGCATATACAACAAGTCACCATAATCAGTTACAGAGAGAAAAGTGGCCTGAACAAGTTTCTTTCTAGCCATAATCGGGAATCAAGCCTTATTACGAAAATAAAAACCCAATTTCAATTTAAGCTTCCTCACAAGATTATCCATATGAACTTTAAAGGAAAACTTGTCATCCAACCCTATACCTAGGTATTTGTAGGATTACACTTTTTCAATGGATAAGCCACCAGATGTGACAATGCTAAACTATTGTACTTCAAACAATGTGTAGGCAGGTTGCGTAGGATTCAAACCTTCTCAAACAGCCTAATTCACACTCTTAGATGAGGTGCACCCACAATAATGTGACTTGTACTGCATACAAGGTAAAGTATTGGATTCCTCACACACCACACTAAGACATTATCCCATCCACTACCTTTTCAAGGTTAATTTTTTTATATGAAAGCAAGCTTTTGTACTTACAAGATCATAAGGCTTGATTGAGCTGTTTTGTCTTGTTGTAATACGGTGCCTGCCTGGATTTCCTTAAATATTTATTTTAGCCAAATATGTTCTTTGGTCAGTAGGTGCCAAACATAAAAACATGTCACTCATATAGATATAGAGGTCTATAGAGCCTGTCTGCATTCCTGATTTATATAACCATTAGCTTACCTGTGTAATATTGGCATATACTCACTTGTTTTGCCAACATTGTTCTGTTTTATCAATTGCTGTGCTGATCAATGGGCAGTGAATATGTAGTCTACAGTTATATTTGTGTATTTATTTATTTTTGCAGTAAAGATGGTGACGCTACAATAATACACATTTACAATAGGCCTATATCTAAAAATACATACAGCCTAATTATATATATATATATATACAGTTGAAGTCGGAAGTTTACATACACCTTAGCCAAATACATTTAAACGCAGTTTTTCACAATTCCTGACATGTTGCTTCAATATATTCACATAATTTTCCTTCCTCATGATGCCATCTATTTTGTGAAGTGCACCAGTCCCTCCTGAAGCAAAGCACCCCCACAGCATGATGCTGTCACCCCCGTGCTTCACGGTTGTGATGGTGTTCTTCGGCTTGCAAGCAACCCCCTTTTTCCTCCAAACATAACGATGGTCATTATGGCCAAACAGTTCTATTTTTGTTTCATCAGACCAGAGGACATTTCTCCAAAAAGTACGATCTTTGTCCCCATGTGCAGTTGCAAACCGTAGTCTGGCTTTTTTATAGCGGTTTTTGAGCAGTGGCTTCTTCCTTGCTGAGCGGCCTTTCAGGTTATGTCGATATAGGACTAGTTTTACTATGGATATAGATAAGTTTGTACCTGTTTCCTCCAGCATCTTCACAAGGTCCTTTGCTGTTGTTCTGGGATTGATTTGCACTCTTCGCAACAAAGTACATTAATCTCTAGGAGACAGAACGCGTCTCCTTCCTGAGCGGTATGACGGCTGCGTGGTCCCATGGTGTTTATACTTGCGTACTATTGTTTGTACAGATGAACGTGGTACCTTCAGGCGTTTGGAAATTGCTCCCAAGGATGAACCAGACTTGTGGAGGTCTGCAATTTTTTTCTGAGGTCTTGGCTGATTTTTTTTTTTTTTCCCATGATGTCAAGCCAAGAGGCACTGAGTTTGAAGGTAGGCCTTCAAATACATCCACAGGTACACCTCCAAGTGACTCAAATGATGTCAATTAGCCTATCAGAAGCTTCTAAAGCCATGACATAATTTTCTGGAATTTTCCAAGCTGTTTAAAGGAACAGTCAACTTAGTGTATGTAAACTTCTGACCCACTGGAATTGTGATACAGTGAATTATAAGTGAAATAATCTGTCTGTAAACAATTGTTGGAAAATTACTTGTGTCATGAACAAAGTAGATGTCGTAACCGACTTGCCAAAACTATAGTTTGTTAACAAGAAATGTGTGGAGTGGTTGAAAAATGAGTTTTAATGACTCCAACCTAAGTGTATGTAAACTTACGACTTCAACTGTGTATATATATATATATATATATATATATATATATATATATATATATATATATATATATATATATATATATACATTGAGTATAGCAAACATTAGGAACACCATCCTAATATTGAGTTGCAAAGTCAAGGCTTGTCAAGGCTTAAAAATCCTTCTTTAACCTATCTCCTCCCCTTCATTGACACTGATTGAAGTGGATTTAACAAGTGACATCAATAAGGGACCATAGCTTTCACCTGGATTCTCCTGGTCAGTGTATGTCATGGAAAGAGCAGGTGTTCTTAATGTTTTGTATACTCAGTGTATATATACTGAACAAAAATATACACTATCGTTCAAAAGTTTGGGGTCACTTAGAAATGTCCTTGTTTCTCATGAAAACATACATGAAATTTGTGAGTTTGAATAGGAAATATAGCAAAATTAATAGGAAATGTAGTCATTGACAAGGTTAGAAATAATGATTTTTAATTGAAATAATAATTGTGTCCTTCAAACTTTGCTTTCGTCAAAGAATAGTCCATTTCCAGCAATTACAGCCTTGCAGACCTTTGGCATTCTAGTTGTCAATTTGTTGAGGTAATCTGAAGAGATTTCACCCCATGCTTCCTGAAGCACCTCCCACAAATTGGATTGGCTTGATGGGCACTTCTTAAGTACCATACAGTCAAGCTGCTCCCACAACAGCTCAATAGGGTTGAGATCCGGTGACTGTGCTGGCCACTCCATTATAGACAGAATACCAGCTGACTGCTTCTTCCCTAAATAGTTCTTGCATAGTTTGGAGCTGTGCTTTGGGTCATTGTCCTGTTGTAGGAGGAAATTGGCTCCAATCAAGCGCTGTCCACAGGGTATGGCACGGTGTTGCAAAATGGAGTGATAGCCTTCCTTCTTCAAGACTTTACCACCACCAAAGCACCCCCAGACCATCACATTGCCTCCGCCATGCTTGACAGATGGCATCAAGCACTCCTCCAACATCTTTTCATTTGGTCTGCGTCTCACAAATGTTCTTCTTTGTGATCCGAACACCTCAAACTTCGATTCGGCTGTCCATAACACTTTTTTCCAATCTTCCTCTGTCCAGTGTCTGTGTTCTTTTGCCCATCTTTTCATTTTATTGGCCAGTCTGAGATATGGCTTTTTCTTTGCAACTCTGCCTAGAAGGTCAGCATCCCGGAGTCGCCTCTTCACTGTTGACGTTGAGACTGGTGTTTTGCATGTACTATTTAATGAAGCTGCCAATTGAGGACCTGTGAGGAAGTCTTTTCTCAAACTAGACACTCTAATGTATTTGTCCTCTTGCTCAGTTGTGCAGTTTGCGCTGTTCTGTGAAGGGAGTAGTACACAGCATTGTATGAGATCTTCAGTTTCTTGGAATTTTTACTAGGATTAAATGTCAGGAATTGTGAAAAACTGAGTTTAAATGTATTTGGCTAAGGTGTGTGTAAACTTCCGACTTCTACTGTAGTTACTGTAGTAGGTCAATGCTGTGTGCTGGAAAACCTTGGTAGAGCATGGGTGAAGTAGGCATTTAATTTTCTTTCTTTTTCAGCTTCAGACCAATGCCAACTTCTCACTTATTTTTTTAAAAAATTTTTTAATAATGTCCATGGTTGTTAAGGGTGAATTATACAATATTTTCACATGCAAAGACAGATTTTATTAGCAACCAAAAGGCTGTAATTGGCATTGCTATTCTAACTTGTAATGCGGCCTCTGACAAAAGGTCTGGACCTTAATGGCATAGGTAGTGTGCTTGCATAACTGCAAGGGTTGCTGGTTTAAACCCTGGTCTGCTGACTGTTGCCCTCTAAAATCAGTTTTTAACTAACTAGTTTGCGACAGACTTACATTGTAAAATGACTTGCCATTCAAAGCTAAGTTTTAACTAAAAGCAAAACTACTTTATAACCGATCATCCTTTGAAGGTCTTAGCTCAGCCAGAAAGCTTTTGGCACATGAGAGCGATAAATTATAAATGTAACCAAAACTGTTGCCCGTACAAACTTATTCAGTCAGAAAGGTAGCAAGTGTAATGGACACTTTATGGACGTTGTAGTTGTCACGCCCGGGCTCTGGGGACACTGTTATGTTGAGCCAGGGTGTGTAATTCTATGTATTCTATTGCTATGTTGGGAGTTCTAGTTTGTATTTCTATGTTGGCCTGAGTGACTCCCAATCAGAGGCAACGAGTGTCAGCTGGTTGTCTCTGATTGGGAGCCATATTTAAACTGTCTGTCTTTCCCTTTGTGTTTGTGGTTTCTTGTTCTTATTTGGTTTGTGTTCAACCGTAGACATCACGTTATCGTCTGTTGTTTTGATCGTGTGATCATTCTCTAAATAAATATGTTCACCTTCAACGCTGCGCATTGGTCCTCCTCCTTAGACGATCGTGACAGTAGTCTCGTTCTTATCCGATGCCTAGATATTGAGCTAGGTCGGGGCAACAAATTGTATTTTTTTACTAATGCTAACGACCCTGTTCAAAATCGGGTATATGGTTCTCGGTAACGGCCTGACGGTTCATGACTAGAGGCAGGGAGTGTGTTGTTTACCTCCAATCAAGGTGATTTGCACATTTTCATCGACATATGGCTTAACCAAAGCCTATGCGACAATAATTAACAGTTATTATGTGGAAGTAGACGTGCCACAACGTGCCACAACTGAGACGTGCCACAACTGCAAAACGTATTTATTTATAAACCAATACAAACATCCACTTACTATATGACCCCCTATCCCCCAAAACCCCTAAATATATTTTTTTTAATCAACTTTTTTATTTATTTTTATTATATGTTAAAGCAAAAAGGTAGAATAAACAGCTTTGGACAAATAAAAATAATGTCAGCGCACTTCCAACATATATTCACATAAAACCCCTAAATATCTGAACAATATCCCTCTCACCTCTTGGCTCTATATGCTCATGCTGATGGTCTCCTCTCTCCTGTCCTGTCCTCAGTGATCCTGGGGGGATTGAAGGACCACCTGAAGGAGATCAAACGCTGCAGACGCCTCATCATGATTGGCTGTGGAACCAGCTTCCATGCTGCCGTGGCTGTAAGTGAACCAACCAGAAGTGCGATTGAGGAAGAGAAGGAGAAAGGAAAGATAATGATGGTGATGATGATGATGATGATGATGGTGATGATGATGGTAATGATGGTGATGGTGATGACTTCTTCTCTTCCCCTTTCCCTTCACCTCTCAGACCAGACAGATTCTGGAGGAGCTGACAGAGCTTCCTGTCATGGTGGAGCTGGCTAGCGACTTCCTGGACCGCAACACGCCTGTCTTCAGAGACGACGTCTGCTTCTACATCAGCCAATCAGGTAATGCCATACTGCGTTGGTAGATAGACTGCTATTTATATTTTATTGCTAGTGTTTCATAAAACTCTAGTGTTTCTGTTATTTATGGTGGAGACTGTGGATACGCTGATAAAAGACAATGCTAGTACAGAGACTATAATCTGTTGGATAGGGGAGAATTCTAGTGTTTGTATGAATGCTAAATTGCCTCTGTCCTCTGCTCCTTCCTCCCCTCAGGTGAGACAGCAGACACCCTGATGGCTCTGAGGTACTGTAAGGAGAAAGGAGCTCTGACGGTGGGGATCACCAACACCGTGGGCTCCTCCATCTCCAGAGACACAGACTGTGGGGTGCACATCAACGCTGGCCCAGAGATAGGGGTTGCCAGCACCAAGGCCTACACCAGCCAGTTTGCGGCTCTCATTATGTTTGGTCTGATGATGAGTGAGGACAGGATCTCCCTGCAGGCGAGAAGGCTGGAGATCATCAATGGACTCAGGATACTCCCAGGTGAGTCTATAAACCACAGCACCCACTGTGATAATGTTTAACCCATTATAACCTCACTATAACCAACATGCTATCATTACGACTAACACACTTTAACCAATATACTGCCTGATCTCACCAGCAAAAACACCACTTTGTTGTTTTTACTAAACCTCTCTTTTTCATCCCCTATCTCTCTCCTCTCCCTCTCTCAGAGTTGATCAAGAAGGTGTTGACTCTGGATAAGAAGATCAAGTCCATAGCAGATGAGCTGTATGAACAGAAGTCTCTGCTGGTCATGGGGCGAGGCTTCAACTACGCTACCTGTCTGGAGGGGGCACTGGTGAGGACAAATCTAGGATTAGTTTACCCACCCCAAATACTAACCCTCAACCATTATAGGAAACATGCAAAACTGAACTTAGGTCAGCGTCCATCTAGGGGCAATGTTTGGCTTTTTCTCCTCTTTTCTGCTTATTTATATGCCATTAAACATCTATATATACACACAGTATATGCACATTCTGACATGATAATACTGATTATTATGTCATATGACTGATTGATTCTTCCCATACAGAAAATCAAGGAAATCACGTACATGCATTCAGAGGGCATCCTGGCTGGGGAGCTGAAGCACGGTCCTCTGGCTCTGATTGACAAGCACATGCCGGTCATCATGATCATGATGAGAGACGCCTGCTACACCAAGTGTCAGAACGCACTGCAGCAAGTCACAGCCAGATCGGTATGTCACATTACTCACTCACATAGGCTGCATTTAGACAGGCAGCCAAATTAATTGGTCTTTTGATCAATCACATCAGATCTTTTTACATCAGATATTTTTCAGCGCTGTTCTGATTGGTCAAAAGACCAATTAGTGAAAAAATATCTGAATTTGGCTGCCTGTCTAAACGCAACCTTATTCAAATATTCAGATACACACAACTAAATACAAAGAACTTGCTCACGTACAGTACACTAGTGGCATTTCAATGTAAAAAGCCCCATGAGCACTAACATGTGAAGTTCATAGGAGCAAATCACTTTTGGTGTCAAATGAAAGCTAAGGGTCTATAAAAAATTTAAATACGGGGAAAATGTGGAATAAGCAAATGCTTTGATTACTGGTCAAACAGATGGAAAAGGGGTCTTAGAAAACATTTAGCAGAAAAAGTCTTAAAAGGTATTAGAAATACATCAAAACACAATACTGTTAAAGTAAAGACAGCCAACTAATATCAACATTTATATTTGGTTTTGCAGAGATTATTTGCCTTCTGTAAAAATTACAAAAACCCACATATCTTTAAGATATTTTCTAATTTCTCTCCCTCATGAGGAGGGAGAGTAATGAAAGTTTCAAAGTAACAAGTGAAGCTAAACCTACCAATGATTTTACCAATGAGTTTATGATTAGCTCCCGAGTGGCGCAGTGGTCTAAGGCACTGCATCGCAGTGCTAGCTGTGCCACTAGAGATCCTGGTTCAAATCCAGGCTCTGTCGTAGCCGGCCGTGACCGGGAGACCCATGGTGCGGCGCGCAATTGGCCCAGGGTAGGGGAGGGAATGGCCGGCAGGGATGTAGCTCAGTTGATAGAGCATGGCGTTTGCAACGCCAGGGTTGTGGGTTCAATTCCCACAGGGGGTATGAAATAAAAGTATAATAATAATGTGACTAACTGTAAGTTGCTCTGGATAAGAGCGTCTGCTAAATTACTAAAATGTAAATGATTTATTAAGTGATTAAAACGCTTCATTCTGTTACCAAATCGGTAACAGAATGACCAATCAAATCAGTAACAGAATGTCTGCAACTGAATTAGCTACAATGGGAATTCATAATAGTCACCTGCTACTGTCCTATCTTCCACTGGCATACTCTTATGTTCATCTCATAACCGTTTTCTTTCTGTCGCGTGGTGGTCATAGCAAGTGTGTGAAAAGAGTCTGGACAACCCCTCCCTCTCTCTCTCCCTGTCTCTATCCCTGTCTCTCTCCCTGTCTCTCTCTCTGTCTCTCTCTCCTCTCTCTCTCTCTTAATGTCACCTCTCCTGCCTCTTACTGACACCTACCCATGAGACCCCTTTTTTCCATTTATTGTAACCAACCCTCTCACCCACTGAGCACATACCGACACCAGACATCCATGGACGTTGAAAGTAGTTGAAATTTGGTCCGTCTATGTCACGCCCTGGCTCTGGGGACTCTGTTATGTTGAGCCAGGGTGTGAAGAGTCTATGTTTTGTGTTTCTATGTTCAGGATCTAGTTCATTGTGTTTCTATGTTGGCCGGGGTGGTTCTCAATCAGAGGCAACGAGAATCAGCTGTCGCTTGTTGTCTCTGATTGGGAACCATACTTAGGCAGCCGTTTGGGTATTTGTGTTTGTGGGATCTTGTTTCCGTGTTGGTGTGTGTTTGTTACCAAGGACTTCACGTATCGTTTTGTTGTTTTGTTTGTGTGGTGAATATAATAAAGTATGTTCGCATTCCACGCTGCGCATTGGTCTACTCCTTTCGACGATCGTGACAGTCTAACTCTGAACCAATCATAGATGTCTGTTTCACAAGTTTGGACAGCACAGTAAAGAAAAGTATAATAGAGTGTAGGTCAGTACAATACAGTACTGTACTGTAAAGTATAGTAAAGTTTAGTACAGTACAGTACAGTACAGCACACTAGAGCAGACTATAATATAATTTACTATATTGTACTGTACTTTACTGTACTGAACTATACTCTACTGTACTGTACTAAACTATACTGTACTCTACTGTATTGAACTATACTGTACTGTACTCTACTGTGTTGTGCAGTGCTGTGCTGTACTGTGATGTCTAAACTTGTGAAACATAGACGTCTCTGATTGGTACAGATTTTGTCCGGTCCGGACCAACCAAATGTGGTCTTGTTTGGGGGCGGAGCTCATTCGAATAATAGCCAGTGTGTAGAAAAACCCCATGCAAAGGAGGATAGGACATTTTCTACCTTTCATAGAAAAACATTGTGACATTCATTATTATGCATTTCTGTATAGTACAGATCAGGGACCCATGATGTCATTCTGTTACCGGGTGTTAATCCACTTCACTTACTGTAGTTCAATCACCCAAATATATTTTTTCAAAACACACGGTTTTTGGAAAACATGGTCAAATAAAAAACAGAGGGAGATTTTACCGTAATTCTGTTACCAAACTTTACATCTGCAGTGTTCTTCGAGTAAATGTGTTTTTGTTAAATTTTCTGTGGAGATTGTTAAAAGTAGTCATTGTTCATAGAGTTGTATGGTTTGTTTAACTTTTCAATCAATGGTTTTTGTTTATCATACTTTTAAAGTGAAAATTCTGAGTCTCAGCATCATTATATTACCATGGAATTGCACCTAGACAAACACACGTACATACAACCACAAGCACACACACAGCCTGACTATCAAAATACTTTAATAATCTCTTTCACCCTCAGGGGCGGCCGATTATCCTGTGTTGCCAGGATGACCCAGAGGTGTCTAAGAATGCGTACAAGACCATTGAGCTGCCTCAGACAGTGGACTGTCTCCAGGGCATCCTCAGTGTCATCCCACTGCAACTCCTGTCCTTTCACCTGGCCGTGCTGCGAGGATACGACGTGAGTCTACCACTACAACCTATCTTGTCTTACTGCTATCTTTTCCTTTGCTCACAGACATCCGTTACTGTACCTTTTAATTCCCAGTATTTACTCTGATTTTATTTAGATTTAATTACAACAAGCATTAAAATCTACTGTTACAAGGACTCACAAAATCAACTATGCTGAATGTGTATCTAGTTTTGTGTTGTCTCCTTTACTCTTCAGGATTGAGCTGGTTTAATGGCTGTCTCTCTCTCCTCTGGTTGCAGGTGGACTGTCCCAGGAACCTGGCCAAGTCTGTCACAGTGGAGTAGAACCAGACAGACAGGCAGGAAGCAGTAGAGGCCACAGCACTGCTCTGCTGAGGAGAGAGACAGAGGAGGCGAAGCCATCAAAGTGCAATTATGTGTGTTTGTGTGTGTTTTTGGTTTCACTATCCTTGTGGGGACTAGAAGTTCTCACAATGATAGTAAAACAACACAAATTGGGACAAGGGGGGACATTTAGCCGGTCCACACAGGAAAAAGGCTATTTTAGGCTTAGGGGTTAGGGTTAGAGTTACAATTAGGGTTAAGGTTAGAATTAAGGTTAGGGGTTAGGGTTAAGAGTTAGGGTTAGGTTAAGGGTTAGGGTTAGGTGTTAGGGAAAATATAATTTTGAATGGAAATCAATTGTATGGTACCCACAAGGATATTAAAACAAACGTGTGTGTGTGTGTGTGTGTGTGTGTGTGTGTGTGAATAGAGGGACATGTGGCATTTCTATAGCACAGAAATGTGAAGTCATATTGACACACTGTTGAGGCGGTGCCATTGACCTTTTGTGCCTTGTAGAGAGAGAGAGCAAATCTCACGAGACTTTGACGATCTGTCAAATCAGCATTATCACCAATAATGCTTCCAAAGCAAGATACTTGCACTATGCAGTACTGTATACACTGTGCCTTGTACCAAATGTGTGCCTTGTCCACAAACAGTTGAGCCAAAAATACATATTGTAGGAGTAATGCATTTACTTGGTGTATTGAAGTGCTTATAATTGTGCAATATGGGAGGCATTGTGAATGTTTTTGATAATATTATCTTCGTTGTTTAATGGGCTCTCTGTCCCGTGGGAGCATATAGCTTTGCATCTTGGAGAGTGTAGGCTATTCCATAGCATTATGTTATCCAGCAGAGCCAATAGCTAGCACATTGTAGGGAACTATTCTGAAAAGCTCTATGTAGGCTATTGGGACATAACTTGGTGTACTGTACACAGAAATGCATTCATTGTAGTCCCATAATCAAGGGGCACTTTTTTATCACTCCTTTGTCAGAGTGAATCTAATATGGTTTTACTCATGAGGGGATTACTGTTCATCATCTACACTCCAATCTGTTGAAAAGGGCTGGATGATACTGCTACAGTCTTGCAAGATACTATAAGAATTATACTTCCTTTCATTCACTACCCTTTCATTAATCATTATTCTCTGTTTAGTCATTGTATGGCGTTCATCATTGCAATCATATTCTGTCATCTGTCATGCAGCATTGTGAGAGACATCTCTGTCCTATTCTATGAAGACTGTTTTGGGTCCATTGGCTTATTTATGTATGAAAACCAGTTGGCTGCACTTACTTTTATAGTGGATTTAATCTCCCAGAGTGTAATCCACAATGCCAATATTGACATGCCCTAACTCTTGTTCTCGAAAATGTGAGGCACTTCCCTTGACATCTCATTATAAGAGTGATATGCATAAAGTGAAATGAATTGTAGTTTTGTACTGTATAGGGTAAAACATATATTGAGATGTACTGTAGTCAGTGTTTTTATCTGGTTATTTTATGGAGGTTAAAGAAAGTGGGGCTGATTTATCACTTTAATTATGATTGTATTTTATAATATATGTTTTTTATACAACGGGTGGTTCTAATCCTGAATGCTGATTGGATAAAACCGCATTCCAGCCGGTGTCTATTCCACAAGTTAGGCTAAATCTACGACGTTAAAATGCCTATTTACTCTGTTCCATCTGACTGCGCAATCTACTGTCTCATCAACCCAGAAAGGCAATTTATGAACTTGATCTCCACTATAAAAAGCATGTAGAGATTATCTCACATTTCTTTTAGACTAACATTTAGAATTCTACAGCGAAGATTTGTATAAACCTTGCTGTCTGTCTCGCCGACATTTGCAACATTGTTTCAATATTCAGAGAGCCCCATCTGTTTAGCTAAAAAATATATATTAAAAAAGATATATGTTTTGGTCTGTTTTGCATGTTATTTTGGCATTAATATGTGTTACATATCAGTTTGCAAACAATGTAAAACATAAAATAAAATAATTGAGTTAATAATGCCGCGTACAAACATGGTCTATTTTTTGATTTCTTGAGTAAGGCAGCTGCAAAATGCAGGTGTTTCAGCCTAGTGCTTTCTTTTGTGGTGGGGAAGCCAGCGGAAAATACGAAGCATAGGGGTTGGTAATGTTCTCTAGTTGAGCCGTGATTGGCTCAGTGTTCTGTCACTTATGGGGACACTACGTCACCGCATAATCTACGGGGAGAGCTCGCAAATTCAAGCCCTTTGGGTGCTGCCATAGAGTTACATTAAAAGTGCCCATCCAAGAAGGCTCACAGTCATCGGCCACAGATAAAATGACGTCAAATCACGTTATATCTACCGTAGCTTTGATTGGACTGATCATGTCAACATCATACTTTCAATACTTTCAACATCTTAGCTAGCAAGCTAGCAGTCATCATCATGAATCAAGTCGACAATCTACTGGCAAATCCTTGTTAATCCTTGTCATATGAAGATAAATTATACAGTTGAAGTCGGAAGTTTCCATATACTTAGGTTGGAGTCATTAAAACACATGTTCAACCACTCCACACATTTCTTGTTGACAAACTACAGTTTTGGCAAGTCGGTTAGGACATCTACTTTGTGCATGACACAAGTAATTTTTCCAACAATTGTTTACAGACAGATTATTTCACTTATAATTCGCTGTATCACAATTCCAGTGGGTCAGAAGTTTACATACACTAAGTTGACTGTGCCTTTAAACAGCTTAGAAAATTCCAGAAAATTATGTCATGGCTTTCGAAGCTTCTGATAGGCTAATTGACATCATTTGAGTTAATTGGCGGTGTAGCTGTGGATGAATTTCAAGGCCTACCTTCAACCTCAGTGACTCTTTGCTTGACATCATGGGAAAATCAAAAGAAATCAGCCAAGACCTCAGAAAAAAAATGGTAGACCTCCATAAGTCCGGTTCATCCTTGGGAGCAATTTCCAAACGCCTGAAGGTACCACGTTCATCTGTACAAACAATAGTACGCAAGTATAAACACCATGGGACCACGCAGCCGTCATACCGCTCAGCAAGGAGTTCTGTCTCCTAGAGATGAACATACTTTGGTGCGAAAAGTGCAAATAAATCCCAGAACAACAGCAAAGGACCTTGTGAAGATGCTGGAGGAAACAGGTACAAAAGTATCTACAGTGGGGGAAAAAAGTATTTAGTCAGCCACCAATTGTGCAAGTTCTCCCACTTCAAAAGATGAGAGAGGCCTGTAATTTTCATCATAGGTACACGTCAACTATGACAGACAAATTGAGAATTTTTTTTCCAGAAAATCACATTGTAGGATTTTTAATGAATATATTTGCAAATTATGGTGGAAAATAAGTATTTGGTCACCTACAAACAAGCAAGATTTCTGGCTCTCACAGACCTGTAACTTCTTCTTTAAGAGGCTCCTCTGTCCTCCACTCGTTACCTGTAGTAATGGCACCTGTTTGAACTTGTTATCAGTATAAAAGACACCTGTCCACAACCTCAAACAGACACACTCCAAACTCCACTATGGCCAAGACCAAAGAGCTGACAAAGGACACCAGAAACAAAATTGTAGACCTGCACCAGGCTGGGAAGACTGAATCTGCAATAGGTAAGCAGCTTTGTTTGAAGAAATCAACTGTGGGAGCAATTATTAGAAAATGGAAGACATACAAGACCACTGATAATCTCCCTCGATCTGGGGCTCCACGCAATATCTCACCCCGTGAGGTCAAAATGAACACAAGAACGGTGAGCAAAAATCCCAGAACCACACGGGGGGACCTTGTGAATGATCTGCAGAGAGCTGGGACCAAAGTAACAAAGCCTACCATCAGTAACACACTACGCTGCCAGGGACTCAAATCCTGCAGTGCCAGACGTGTCCCCCTGCTTAAGCCAGTACATGTACAGGCCCGTCTGAAGTTTGCTAGAGTGCATTTGGATGATCCAGAAGAGGATTGGGAGAATGTCATATGGTCAGATGAAACCAAAATATAACTTTTTGGTAAAAACTCAACTCGTCGTGTTTGGAGGACAAAGAATGCTGAGTTGCATCCAAAGAACACCATACCTACTGTGAAGCATGGGGGTGGAAACATCATGCTTTGGGGCTGTTTTTCTGCAAAGGGACCAGGACGACTGATCCGTGTAAAGGAAAGAATGAATGGGGCCATGTATCGTGAGATTTTGAGTGAAAACCTCCTTCCATCAGCAAGGGCATTGAAGATGAAACGTGGCTGGGTCTTTCAGCATGACAATGATCCCAAACACACCGCCCGGGCAACGAAGGAGTGGCTTCGTAAGAAGCATTTCAAGGTCCTGGAGTGGCCTAGCCAGTCTCCAGATCTCAACCCCATAGAAAATCTTTGGAGGGAGTTGAAAGTCTGTGTTGCCCAGCGACAGCCCCAAAACATCACTGCTCTAGAGGAGATCTGCATGGAGGAATGGGCCAAAATACCAGCAACAGTGTGTGAAAACCTTGTGAAGACTTACAGAAAACTTTGACCTGTGTCATTGCCAACAAAGGGTATATAACAAAGTATTGAGAAACTTTTGTTATTGACCAAATACTTATTTTCCACCATAATTTGCAAATAAATTCATAAAAAAACTACAATGTGTTTTTCTGGATATTTTTTTTCTCATTTTGTCTGTCATAGTTGACGTGTACCTATGATGAAAATTACAGGCCTCTCTCATCTTTTTAAGTGGGAGAACTTGCACAATTGGTGGCTGACTAAATACTTTTTTCCCCCACTGTATATCCACAGTAAAACGAGTCCTATATCGACATTACCTGAATGGCCGCTCAGCAAGGAAGAAGCCACTGCTCCAAAACCGCCATAAAAAAGCCAGACTACGGTTTGCAACTGCACATGGGGACAAAGATCGTACTTTTTGGAGAAATGTCCTCTGATCTGATGAAACAAAAATAGAACTGTTTGCCCCACCAAGATTTACATGCTAAAATCGCCACTGCCCATAGACGGACAGGCAGGGAGCATTTCTCAGCCAGTTGAAATCATGAATCAGCTGGCATCATTTTTATGGATATATACAAAGAAATGTCATTTGA